AAACGTGTACACATTTTAAATTCGGCCAATAATAAAAGTACACATCATCCATTCTAAACAGTAGATGGTCGTCCCTTAAAACTGACATACAGCAAACGTTCTGAATTATTATAAATATTCTTTATCCACACTAAATGACGTTGATATTATATTTGGAGTGTCTAGGCAACAGAACTATGTAACTCTTAGTGCACATCTAAAATCATCAAACCAAATATTAACGAATGGTCTTTGTCTGGGAGGCGAATTAATAAAATACGTCTTACGGTATATATTTATTCCATACAGTTGATTAATACAATTATCCATTATGATCCCTGTAGGTTCATCTTATCAGGCACACCGTGTGCCAGATCGTACAGTAACCTTACAGACAGACCATAGCACGGTATAATATATTGATAACTTGAATTCTATCTACACAAAACATGATTACAGAATGTCAAGGGTTTACTTTCTGTTCTTAAAAGACCCGGGAACTGATCAGAGAGTTGTGCTAAATTAGTGCCCCAATAAACTCCATTAATGTTTAACCAGGAGGTCCATGATTTGATCCCGGTGTTGGCTAAAAAAATTCTTGGGATTGTCCAGTGTATGTCATTTCCATAACGTTACCGACCCTCTGACACTTGTAAATCAAGAGTGGGCCTTAATGCACTTATGTCGGTTAGAATTGAAATGGGATTTTATGTCCCTCTCTCCTGCACGGACTGGGTTAATGAAGACGGGCTTACTACAGTGTGCTATGAGGGACAATTTGCGTCGACAGCGGTGCTACGGCCTATACTATTATTTCGAATTCCAACTGTCAGTGGTTCCTTTACTAGCACGCCAATGTGTACACGGGACCTAGGTTGTTCGTCCTATTCAAAGAACTAGACACTATCCTTGCCAGCCCCTCCTACACTACGGACAAGAGGAGTCCTTTTAGAACAAATAAAGTAGGAAGTTAAACCCCATTTCATTTTATTTCCGATACCTAATCATTAATTCGTAAAGATATATTATTCATATACGGGTAGTGTCATGCATATAATGTTTCCGAAAGGCTGTGGAGTGTGTGTGTGTGTGTGGGGGGGGGGACAAGGGGTCCGCGGTCCGTCGAAAACACATGTATTAAACATGACCGTCACAAAGGAATGGGAAGTTATCATTGAATTTTCATTTCAAACAGACATTTACCAGCTGTAATAACAGATTACCATTGAATACCAATTAAACATACCAACCATAGTATCGCTGATGGTCTTCATATACCACACAGAAAGAAATTTAAAAGCACACAATACAGAAAATAGATAACAGGTGATATTGGGCTGCCGATTCTGTGAACTATAAATTTTAACATGAAAAAGACAGTAATTTGACTGCGATATCACCCAAGGTGGAAGCGGACGTGAAATCACACTGAACGACGAACGTGGCTGTAACACATTCTTTTAATAAGCCTGCTGATTATTATGACATAAACAATTGTAAAAAAAATGAGCAACACACATAGTAGAATGAGTTCGAAAAATCTCTAGATGGTCACTATTTTCTATGTTCACCGCTATCAGTATTTTGTGGTCCCCAGATGGACGTAGATGTTTTGAGAGAGCATGTGATTGACCTAGAGTAATATATTAAGATATCTATGTATCCCAGGGCGATATCGTATATCTCGGCGAATTAAATTCAGACTTGTGAATTGCTGGAACTATTGCTTACACCAGGTCTATGTGATTGACCTAATCATGTTAAACGACTTCTGAACAGTGCACCGTCAACGACATCTCCAAGTGATAATCGAGATACTGGGATAGAGATATTGCTGTTTTTAAAGATCATTTGAGTAGAAATTGCTGACAAATACTAGTTACAAAAAAAAGTTGTTTTAACGAACATTTATTCCTATTTATCTTCTAATTCAAAATACCATGGGTTCTCATATACATACGAATATATGACATAAACCATAACTTTATAGATTAATAATTAACGTATATACTGTAATAAAAGAGTTATAATTAACGTATATACTGTAATAAAAGAGTTGGAATTAATTTGCAGTATAGTAAATATATAGATAATAACAGGTGAAACAAACTATGATGTAATCAGTAATTAAATAAGAATTAAAATATATATGTACCTCTATTTTCAGTCCATCTTCAATTCATATGAGCTTCTCAAACATTGGCGACCATAAGTGCATTAGGTCTAACATTATTGTATATATTGTACTGGTTTTACTTTATCTAAAAATCAGTCTGGAAAGTTAAACTTGTTAACAGCAATATTAAAATCAGAGAATTATATTCATTTTCTGGAGCTCCGTTTTCCAAAGATGATTTGGAATAAGTGACGCCTGTACTGAAGTGAACGGTCAGTGTCCATGATTCGTTATAACCCAATATTTTACCGATATCCTTCTGAATTGACAGTTATTCATTAAGATTTTCAATATCATCGCGTGTTATTAGTCAAATCTAAGTCTAATTTATTATACTAGGCTGTCATTAGCTGAATACAGCACAATGGACTCGTACTGGATTAGAAGAAATCTTTGAGTTGCCGGTCAAACTATGGTGTAGTGATATTCTTAGCCTTGACCAACAAATCATACAACACTTGACGGAATATGAGAATTAATAGCACGAGATAAATACGAGAGGTCAGAATATAATTTATAATGAATATCTGTGCTATCATAAAGGTTGATACCCGTGGAAATATTAAAATATCCATCAATTCAATTTTTTAGGGTGAATTTCTATATTATATCGCACGTATTAGTTCCTTAAAGGGCAATCTTAAATGAGAATATTACCACTATCCATATAGTGGGGCCTTATCTATAAAAAAAAACCCTATGAAACAAGAATTAAAATGTTTTAAAAAGGAACCTGTTCATTCGCTAATAGTTGAAATTTAAACCAAGATTTTAACTATCAATCGATGAAAAGGCAATATCATATTTATATTAGAGTTACAACAACATGTATTTGGTGCCAGATCCTCTGGAATTTGTTACACTCAAGTCTGCTGAAATTTTAAGTTCATTTAAATGAAACCGCAAGACCCAACTTTTCAAATGTTATCTTCAATAAGGGAATCATCGTATATATGCATAAAGTTTGTTTTGTGATATCATGACGTGCGTCGTACGCGGTCCTTATTATAATCTGGTATTTAGCGCATAATACACCATTTTATTATTATTATCTACAAAATCGTAAACATTACAAATAAATTACAAGTCATATTGTCTTATAAATGTATTCCATTTTGATAATAACACGTAAATTCTAATAAAGAACAGATTTTAATATTTTCCTAAAAACTTCGACCCAGTGACAACAAACTGACCAGTGAGAACATTAGAAGTCAGTGATCTTTTCTGGTTTGGTTGTTGACCTCCAGCAGACAGCTTGTAAGTGCCTAAATATATAATACAGTACAAAAGATCATATTAAATGTATATACTACAGTAGTAGATAGCTATACTAAATAGAATTGGGTTGAACTCTTTACTCAGGTCATCTTGTTTAACCCCTGGCAAATAGGAACCGGGCAAATAATGTATATAAGTGAAATGTTTCAAGAACTATGCTAAGCAACCCCCTAATCACAAATCACAATCTAATGTGAAAACGAACCAAAATCCGTTAGCGACATAAACTTGCTACAGTTACCCCATCCTAATCAAATAAAATACCCCCGACCCCCTGTGCTTATTTAGAAACTTGTATGATATTACTACATGTCGAACAATCTACCATCCAAATATTTACCTGGTTCTATTTGCCACCCCATGTTGTCTTCCCTCCATACTGCCATTTGTTCTGCTTTAATTGTAAAGTCCACGCGAACTTTGGATTTTGCAGGAACATGCACTCTGGTAAAGTTAACCAGCTGGCGTATAGGTGTCACGACTGTTGCACTATTCCAACTGATATAAACCTGTACAACCTGTAATCAAAGATATACAAGCATTCTGAGAGTAATACCGGTGGAGGGGGTAACCGAATGGTCTAGCAAGTTCGCTTTATATCTTAAGGTCTGTCATTGAGTCAAGTGGCTAGGTTTCGAATCCCAGCTTGAGCGCGACAAAGAGTAGGATCGCCTGTCCGGCTTCGTGGGTTTTCTCCAGAATCTCTTACTGCTAAAGACCCCTACACGCAAGAGATTTATTGAAATAAAATTGAACAATAAGTCGTCCAACAATGACCTAGTCTGTGGTGTTAAATAGGAGTTAAAACCGAATTCTCGTTGAATTTAAGTCAACAAAAGGACATGAGTGGGTCAAACATTAACGGAACCCCACAAAACGCGAGCTTGATCTATAACCCTACTATATTAAGCAGTGTACCAAATTGTTATCAAATATCTCAAAAAAAGTTTATTAAAAAATGAAAACTAAAAATGCATACATGGTTATAAAGACGGGCGGAAGTGGGAGTGGTAAACTAGCCAAGAAAGGGGCTTATTATGATGCTTAAAATTGAGAATTTTTTTCCAAATGTTTTCTGAATCACTAGTATGTAAAATAGCCATACCTGAATGTTCATTTACCGAACACAGTACAACACCATGTACGAAAACAAAACAAAATGCGTCTAATCGTTTTCGAAATTTCCATGTTTGTATATTCCACAGCTACCATATGCTCAAAACCTGAGGTGTTATTTTTTGCAATATGCTAACGACAAGATACAAATTATATCAGTTCTATAGCTGAAAATGTACCTCGTCACAGTTATTCCTTGCACCATCATTCGCAACAACTATAGATCCTGTCACGTCATTTCCAGCTTCAACCGAACCAGAATATTGCAGCTCAAAATATGTAAATGTTGTATAGGTTAAGCCATAACCAAATGGATATAATGGCTCTGTGTTTAGATATCTATATGTTCTTCCTTCCATAGAATAATTTACCATTGGTGGCAACTGTAATGAACACGGTATTAAAAAGAATAGCATTCTGGAGTAATATTAACAATTGGGTCAGATAATTGGAACCAATCCAGATTCCGATGTTTGCATTAAGTTGTAATTGTGGCACTGCATAAGGTAACTAATTATTTCATACGAGGAGAGCTACATACTAACAAACCTGATCAGTACTCATGGGCCATGTAAATGGAAGTCTTCCAAAAGGTGAAATATTCTCATCATTTTCCACTAGAGCTAGTTTCAGGGCTTCTCCTGTGACTTGAGCTGGATAGAAGGCTTCTACTATACCAACAATTTTATCCTCACTTGCAGCCCATCTAATATCAAGCGGGCCAGCATTAAACAATATCAAAATAACTTTTGCATTCGGAGGACCTGTATAACATTCAAAGTATTCAAGTGTTAACTATCTGCAGTCTTATTTAAAAGAGATTATGGATATGCGAAAACACAGACATGTGCTATTAAAAGTCCTAATCAGAACCATGGTCGTTTTTGCTCTTCAAATACCACCCATGTGATTGACGGTCGAGATATTTTAAATTCGATAGCGTTCCCTGAAAGTCATATAGTTTGCTAGGGGGTCATTCCAGTGAACAAATCGACAATCTCGTCAAATTTTCATTGATAAAGTTCACATGTTTTAAAAGGGCAAGATCGGAATGAAAACTCAACATAAATATAATTCATAGGGGGCATCCTTCTACCGTAAATCTTTAAATAATTTCTCCGAAGTATGCTATCAATCAATTTTGAATTTCGATACTTGTATATCAAATGAATAAAATCCTGCATATTTGAAAAAAAAATACGGTATTAACCCTGACCTGCAATTTCTTCTCGGGAAATTGTGGGCGGACTGATGGACAACTGTATGGGTTATTCAATGTTGCCCATAAAAAAAATTGATGATGTATGCTTCAAAATGAAATGCCATCATGCGATCCTGCCGCACTGAAATGTGCATGCCACATGTTAAATATATCGTTACGCATCTTGGTATGGATGTAGAAACTGTGTCATATAATGGGAAGTCTAAGTACATGTATTTCGGGCCCTACCACACTACCCCGGGTACAGGCTTCAGTATTTCTTCCTTTTTTAAAAACAATATTTTATTCAGAATGAGGATTGGGAAACAGACATTGCCTATATTAGACCCCTCTTCCTCTCTGCTATTAGATACATATCATCATTTTATAAATGAACAATTTCAACAGGTTAACATATTAACATTAAGTGTGTGTGCCTCATGTGTCCCAATTGGTCTAATACTGTTCTAATGGGTGGTCAAAGACACAAATTCCATACAACTAAAGGCCAAGTCGTTATAACATTACTCAGACTTCTCATAAAGGGAATGCTCTATTAATACCCAATCGGTTGTTCCTGGACCAATAAGCATATCCTGTCGCGCACTGGCCAAATCTATAAAAGCATGCACAGTGCTGAAATTTTTACGGTTGGCACGGTCCTGTTTGAGTGGATTTGTGTTATACAATTTGTCTTGTATCACAGTCTTCATTAAATCTGCAATTGGCCTTGTTTGGCGAAACCAACTCACTGTGGAAGACAGCATCTTGATGTAATTGAAACTGATATCCTGGTAAACTGATGTTTGCTCTATCATTACCCTCGTCTTCCACCTCATTACCTGAGAACAGAGAAACAAATAGCTATGTTAAACATTAAAAAGAATGTTCAAGATTGAGTTGTTCTCTAGTTGGTATCAGATTTATCCTTTTTTAGGATGAAAGTTGACAGTGGAAAACTATTTGTTTCAGCAAGGTAACAAAAACATCCTTGAAATATTATGTACATATTAACTATGAACATAATTTACAGGAGGGAGAACAGTCGAAGTTGATGTGGAAGAGTGGTGTGTTCGTGGGTCAATAAATGTATTCAATAGCCGAGGTCAAGTTATTATGGCATATTCAGTATTGTAAGAGAGGTTAGATTCATTGCTTCGCCGCCTTAGAAGTACAGTGTGTAAGTATAATTGCTTTAGATACCGTAGCGACAGATTCAATTGAACACTTAATGTTTTATAAAGGAATCAACAACTTCAATAGATCAATTACTGTTTGGAGAAAGTAGCAAAGGGTTCAATTGATCATTTAGGGTTTGGGGTAAATAGCAACAGGTTCAATTGATCAGGGTGTGACATAAAAACATCAAAACTTGTCACTTCACAAATAAATGAAAGTATCTAAATGTATTGTCCCCTAGACTTTTTCAGCGAGGGAATTGATTTTAATAATTTTCTTACCTAATCCTAGACAGACCAACACAATATCTGCATTTTTAACGGCATTTACAATTTCTGATTTATCATAAGAGAGACAACGATTATCGCCAATGCAACCTGGGGCGTATTGGGTGATCTTCGCGATCGTACTGAACTCTAGGGGTGTGGTGGTGTAATGTAGATCAATTGTTGGTGTGTAGTCCCCAAATTGTGAATATGGATTATTTGCCAGTGGTCCCACTACCTGAAATATCAATAATAAGATAGCCGCGTAAAGCGTAGAATACGCCCACATAGTAACTTTGTCTCATAAAAAATTATTGTAGCCTCTATCACGTTCACCACAAGCTTGTCAAAAAAGGGGCGGGACGCTGGATATCATTAGGTTTCGTTCTCTCAAAACCTCGCGACTTCACACCAAATTTGAAAAAATTATGTAGCGTCTATCGCATGCACAACTCCGGGAAATAAGGGCGTGGGACGTTAAATATCGGTAGGGTTCGACCTCTCACGACTCCTATGATTCACACTAATCTTGAAAAAGAAAATTTGTTAATAGCTCCCATTGAATTCCCAATGTTTTTTTTTAAAGTAGTGTAGTGGCGTGAGGGTGTTAGAGGTTACTGACTATCGGTAGAGTTCCTCCTCTAATGACCACAAAATGCTCCACACCAAGTTTCAAATCAATCTGTAGAAATGATTAGCCTCTATCGCATTCGCAGCTTTTCAAACAAGTTTTATGAAATTCAGACCAAAAAACCCTGTCCTTAAAACAGCTTGTATGTATTGTACGTAAAATCAAAGGCCATAACTCTAATAATATTCATTTAATTATCCCGAAAAGGAACAGATACCCTTGTCTGGTCATAAAGCAACTTATCTGAAGCAACTATATTATGGTAACAGGGAGTTTTGGCAAACAAGGGGCATCACCTTTTCATAATACAAGTTTCCTGAAAGTTTCAAAACATTGATGACAACCTTGGTCTCTATTGTGCTGACAAGCATTACAAACTGTGTATGCTCACTGGACTTAACTGTTATTCGTTTAACATTTTCTTAAGTTTGATATTTTGTAAAGACGATATATAATATAATCATACTCTTAACATATTCGAAGGTGATATTTACCGCAATATTATCATATATTTTATTAGGTAAAGGTAGAGCACCGTTCACATTTTTCAACAACACAAAAGACTTCAAAGCTAGTTCTAAACTCAACTGTCTATGTTCATCACTCTGAATCACAGACAGGTTCAACGTTTTATATGGGTTTAACTGTGGTGGGTCGAACTCTCCAAGTCGCATTCGGGTCAGCCACATTGGCTTCATCATCTCCCGAACTCGATCTTCAGTTACTTTTCCCTCCTTTACAGCATCGACTGGAAGTAGAAAAACGGATAGATACACATTTACTAATATGGAGAATCCCGTCTTCAAGACTTTATTATGAGATACGAGGGCAGATGACGTTATGCTATCCACCGTTATATCGCTAATTGTGATGTTTAATCACATATTTTATAAATACACCTTTGGAGGTTTAAATCCTAACATGGACTAAGATATACAAATCTATTAGTTGTTTATATTAAAGAAGTTGTCGTTCTCCAGGTTATCTACAATTTCAATGGTGATTATTTGTTTAGTAATGTGTGGCAATAAGTAACGTCAAATCGTTTTTATGAAATATATTATCAACTCGAACAGACAATTACATGTACACATATAGAGGAAGACCACCATTAAATTCCAACTTCTCAGTGTGGTTTCTTGCATTAATTGCCACAACCATTTACATGGCCATTTTTGCTGACCTTTTTTATACGCCCACATTTTTATGTGGACGTATATTGTCGTCGCCCCCGTCTGTAAGTCCACAATTTGTTTGTGACACAGGTCACAATTTTTATCCGATTTTGACGAAACTTGAAATATAGGCTTATATCGAAAAGAAGTCGGTTCCTTTCGATATTGGCATGTATCGGATCGAAACTTCATGGGTTATGGCCCCGATTGTACGAAAAATTTCGTTTTTGGCTTGTGGATACTCTAGAGGTAACAATTTTGATGCAATTTTGATGACACTTGACATGCATGTTTATAACCCAACGATCTTGACTCCTTTCGATATTCGCGCATATCGCATCGTAACTTCCTACATTATGGCCCTGATTGTACGAAAAATCGCGTTCATAGCTTGTGGTCCCTCTAGAGGTCACATAAAAGGGAACATAAAAATTGTGACCTGTATAGGGTCCACAACCTTCGTACTGCACACTTCTACACAATTTGCGTACAAAGAGTGGCCATTTTGTCCGGCAATTTCATTTCAATATTCTCGAAATCCGAATTCAACCTTTATTGTGGTGGAATGGTGATGTATTTAAACGGTTTATAAAATCGGAAAAAAAATTGTGACCTCTAGAGAATCCGCAAGCTAAAAATGCGATTTTTCGAACAATCAGGGGCCATAATCTAGGAAGTTAAGTTCGGGTATCTGCGATTATCAAAAGGAACCAAGATCTTAGTGTGAAATGGTGATATATTCACGCGTTTTTTTTTAAATCAGATAAAAATTGTGACCTCTACAGGGACAACAAGCTGAAACGTGATTTTTTGTTCAATCAAGGGTCATAATTCAGGACGTTACAATCTGATTTGCGCAAATATCGAAAGGAACCAATATCTTTGGGTTATAAACATGTATTTCAAGTTTCATCGAAATCGGATCAATCTAGTGACCTCTAGAGGGTCCACAACATTGATTTACCAGATGTTTACACTATTTGCGTACCAGAGGCGGCCATTTTGTCTGGCAGTTTTGGCCGGATTTTCACAAAATTCGAACTCAACAAACATTACGGTGTAATGGTGATATATTCGAACGTTTTTTTTTTAAATCGGATAATAATTGTAACCTCTATAGGGTCCACAAGCTAAAAACGCGATTTTTCGTACAATCAGGGGCCATAATTCAGGAAGTCCGATATGCGCAAATATCGAAGGGAACCGAGATCTGTGGGTTATAAATATACATTTCAAGTTTAAACCGAATCGGATAAAAAATGTGACCTCTACAGTGTTCACAGGCTAAAAACGCCATTTTTCGTACAATCATAATCCATGAAGTTACGGTCCGATACATGCCAATAATTCAGGAAGTCCGATATGCGCAAATATCGAAGGGAACCGAGATCTGTGGGTTATAAATATACATTTCAAGTTTAAACCGAATCGGATAAAAAATGTGACCTCTACAGTGTTCACAGGCTAAAAACGCCATTTTTCGTACAATCATAATCCATGAAGTTACGGTCCGATACATGCCAATATCTAAAGTAACCGAGATCTTATGGTGATAAACCTATATCTCAAGTTTCGTTGAAATAGGATAAAAATTGTGACCTGTGGAGTGCTCACAAACAATTGTAGACATGAAAATCGAACCAAAACTGCCGGACAAAATGGCCGCCCCTCGTACGCAAATAGTGTAAATATATGTTTATATCACAAAGATCTTGGTTCCTTTCGATAATCGCGCATATGGAATCAGACTAGTAATTATTTCCCCTTATTTTCACGATGGACGAATGTAGTGCGAGTTATAAATAGACAATTTTTCCCTTATATTTTTTTTCTCCCCTCTTCCTGCATTTTTAGGTTGAGATTTTGGTCTAGAATTGGAGAAAAGGGATCAAATTTGTAATTTTATAGCAGTTTTGGGTAATACTGACGACATTACAGCGGAGGTTAGGGGGTGTCAAGTGTCTTTCTGCAGAGCAATCATTTATCGGAAGTGAGATTTTGACCCCAGTCAACATTAAATCCCCGCAGAAAAAAATCTAAATGGTCAACGCCCTACAAAATTATGATGACGAGATTGCCAAATGTGGACCCCTTTGTGTCTATATAGATTAGAACCAACGGAATGTTGAGGAAATAGCAAATAATTGCTAGTCTGAGCCCATATCCAACGTAACTTCCAGGATTATGGCCCCTGATTGTTCGAAATATTGCATTTTTAGCTCGAGGACCCGGTAGAAGTCACAAATTGTAGTCAGTTTTGAAAAACGTTTAAACGTATCACCGTTACACATCAATGAAGGTTGAGTTCAAATTTCGTAAAAATCTGACTCAAACCGCTGGACAAAATGGCCACTCCTTGTACCCAAATAGTGTAATTTGTTATTTATCCATCTCTTGCAAAATGTGGGCGTATCTCATATCTAGAATCGGGTTTGTTGTATTGATATTTCTGCGTCGTTTCGGTAAATTATTCATGGTTTAGAGGGAGGCGAAATGACAACAGAGCTAAGTGGCTGGATACGGTGATATGTACGGTGGATAATTACATGTTTATAATATGTTTCCTTGTGCATCTTAAAGTTTCAATGGTCAACCTCATAAAATTTTAAGAACCGAACAAAAAAAACCCCCCAAAAAACAAAAACAATATGGGGGTCTGTAGCCTATCTATGTGGGGTTTAATTTTGTAACAGTTATTTTCCTTGCATTTTAACAACGGTAAATTCTACGTTGACGATTTTCAGACTGAAGTACTTAAAACTTTAATGAAAACAGCAAACCCAACCAGTTCAATGCAATAAAAGTGAATCAACCTACCCATAGCGAAAAATTCAGCGGACTTTTGTCCGCCATATAATTCAACATTACACCCAGAATTTAAGCAGGCGGCGACAGTATCAACACTGGTGTTAGTGTAATGGTGCTCTGTTTTTATGTTTATAACTGCGTTAGCATCACTAATAACGTAACCTTTGAAACCCCATTCTATTCTTAATATATCTGTCAATAATTCCTTACTAGCACATGCCGGTTTACCATTTATACTAAAAATAAAGTGAAACAAACATGAACTCATTTTCTTTATATTTCATTACCTATTGTGTTTTCAATAATTACATGTTTTCATACAATGGGGCAGTATATTGCAATATCTTTATCTTCTAATAACTGACGATTTATTTAGGCCTAATTGTAGTAATAAGTCAGTGGTTCGGGATGGTTAAACTATTAAAGGTTGCCACATTTACCGATCATAAAATTTGAATTTTAAATCTCTGGAAAGCGAGATTGTCCTTCGTCATTTGAAGAAAGTTTATATGCTTATAATAATTCCATCATGCTGCCCAGCATAATGGAATCGCAATGAACATATAACATTATCTATCATAGAGGAAATTTAAAATAAATATACATAAATCCGATTTTTGTTTGGTTTATTTACACTTTCGAGTCCACACACAAGTTAATTGCTATGGAAACTCCCAAAAATATACATCTGGAAATGGTCTAAGTAGCAAACAACACAACAGTCCATGAGTAGCCTATATATTTTAAATGGTTCCCCGTGATGCGATCTTGAACATTTGTCGGCAAAAATATAAACCCATCCATGTATCAGATAGTAAAAGCACAACCAATGATATCTTAAACGGTTTCTCAAACATGCCCCCGAAATTTAAACGTACATCCAAAATCGGGGTCAAATTTGTTTCCATCGGAAAACAAATTTATTAAAACGAGATATTTTCCAACTAGCATAGAGCTACTACGGCGTCTTTAATTCCCCGAAAGTCGACATCAGGAAAACTTCGACTTACCTATCAGAATTCACAGGATTTGTTTTATTTCCCGCCTACCGCATGTTTACCAATGGAATGAATAAAATGTGTTGAATCAGCCGATATCAGTCACTTGATGATCAGGATTCAAAGGATATTATTATTTCTCAGTAGTTAGTAAGACACAATGTTACATTTTTTGTAATATTATTTATTTCCTGTATTGTAATACAATAACTTTTTGTATAACGTTTATGTATTAATATTCTCGGATGAAGTCGTAATTGTTTCTCATATCCGTTATTTCCGAATAACAAGCAAATTTTCAGCATACGACCTTCTGTGCCCTTCGGTGGATTAACGAGATGAAAGGACAACTTAACACCACTGAGAAACTGATAGGCTTCAACGAAAGGTTTAATATGTGACTCACCTGTTATAACTACACATGAGGCTCTCAGTACCGGCTGTAACACACGATCTAAAAGCTGGAAGAAACGTTGTTCTCCAATCTCTCATACTCACCTGTAATAATCATATTCAAAACAACATATTAATAGATTATAAAAGGAAGGGTCACTTAGTACATGTTGTATTTAATTAACAGTAACATGATCAAAACCAGAGGCGAAATAGATTCTAAATCTGGAAATGAGAAAGTCGTGTAAAGGTGTTGTTGGCTAAAACGATCGGTCGATGAAGTTGAACTTGGCAACAGTTTCGGAAGTTCGTACCGTTACTATAGTTCCATTTAGTTCAGTGATTCGCAACCTGCTTTCATGTGGACTCCAGGGTAGAATGGATAGTGTCAGGGATGATTTGTATTTTTGAGGTGTGGAGTTTCCAGGCGACCTCCAGCTCAAACTAACCAATATCCAGCCCCACATTCGGGATCTGATTGAGATTCTCCGACACTGCGTTAGGCTGAATGTATCAACGATAGTATGCAATATTCAAAATATCTTGGCTATATGACACAATGGATATCAATAAATAACTGCCGTTTATGACCCCGAGGGGTGAATGGAAAGTATGAGTCGCGAAAAGAGGTGAACGAGTGAAAAAGGTTGGGAACGCTGATTTTGTTAATGACAAATGCCCTTGACAAAAATATGCATTTCTCAACCTTAATGGTTGATTCCAATTTTTTATATGAAGTTCAGAAATCGGTATTAAATACTGACAAGAAGTAAAGAAGACACCCACCTGAGCATCAAAGCTAAATCGTGATACAGGAATAGTTTCTGGTCCACCATATGCATCAAAATGTTTACAACCGGCATTGGTTAGAAGATATCTAGAGTTATCTCCCTGTAGTCCACGGACAAAACCTGCAGCGTAAACACCACTCAGATACGGATCTTCACCATACGTTTCCTGAAGTAGAAGGAAGCATCTCCTCCAATCTCCTCGGTCTTTCGTAATCCCCCCCCCCCCTTAGTATCCTTAATCTTTATTCGTTAAATATTTATAAACGTTATAACACTTACTTCATTTCGACCCCATCTGGAATCTCTCATTATATTGATGACCGGGCTAAAACAGCTCAAACCTTTAAATGCTCCATATGAATTATGTTGTGTATAATTGTTGTTTTTAGCACGAACTTCCAATCCTGTAGCTCTTGCCAGTTTAAATAACAAATCTTCACTGTAAAAATGTTGACAATTTGAATCAAGGATTTGATGAGAATTGTGTATAAATTTTTATATTTGGAAAACCTATTTATTGTTGCTTAGTTTTGTTCAATATTCCTGACATAGAGAAGGGTCGGATGCGCTCCACCTTGTTGCAGTTGTTTCCGAATCTTTTAGATATGCGTGCAAATCCGTATAATATTTGAGACAAAATTGTTATTTGGTTTGAACATGGGATATTCGGCAAGTGACCTATTTTTCAGGTAACCTGTAAGAATTAATAACGTCGTGTTCATTGAATGTACTTATTTTTAGTACGCAATAGGTCGCCATAATAGATATTTTAGATTTTAACATACAACCTGAACATGGCTCCAAGGCCAATTGGTTCCGGATATGAAGTGGCATTACCCGCTCTGACGTCACCTCTCAAACATTCTGTCGCCCAAGAATATGGTTTAATACCCAGGCGAGGAATAGCAGGAACTTTTCCCTTGACTTATAATAGATGAATAAATATAAAATCAAATATTAAAACTATACACATGGCGTAACCAGGCAACACAAATACGCCCAACGTCAGTTGGTATCAGATAAGACGTCATAGGATGATACTAGGTCAAAGAAGTAATATACTATTCAAAAAAAGTAGGGGATATTTGATTTTGGGGGCATAATACTAAAATATGCAAATGACTACGAAAAAAGTCACTATAGAACCTAACAGAAGAAACATTTCCAGTTACATGTGACGCCCAAACGCGCCAATAGCTACCGCATGGAATGCAGGTGATGCTTGGGATCATCATGGGGGTCCAACCCAAGATTTGCACGACTTTGAATGTTACAGTCATTGTGGCATTGAATTCCAGGGTGGAAACATCAGTTTAATTGTTTTAGTGACCAGAAAACAAATTTTGATATGCGTCGGCTTACCCAAAATGAAAGGTTACGTGCCCTTGGCATGCTACAGATCGACACAACACAGGCGGTTGTGGCGCGGACGATGAATGTTTCTCAGTCTGTCATAAGCAGTCTATGGTCCAGATACCGTGATACACAATCTGTACAGGACAGACCACGCTCAGGTCGACCAAGGGCGACAACTCAAGCCCAGGATCGATTTATCCGTACCTTGGCCTTGAGAAATCGTGTCATCACAGCAAATCAGATCAGCGCTCGTCTTCAAACAGACACTGGTGTGAGAGTGAGTGGCCAGACGATTCGGAATCGACTGCATAGGGGTCACCTTCGCGCCCGACGTCCTCGCGTGATCCTTTGTTTGAGAGATCATCACATTCAGGCAAGACGTGGTTGGTGTAGGGATCGTCAACACTGGGATAATCGACGCTGGAGCAATGTGATGTTTTCAGATGAGTCAAGGTTCACTGTTGATTTTTTGGACAGAAGTAGGAGGGTGTGGCGTCGTCGAAACGAGCGCTTCCAAGACGTTAACGTCATCAGACATGATCGATTTGGGGGTGGTTCTGTTATGGTGTGGGGAGGCATCACTGTTGCTGGAAGAACGGCTTTACATGTTGTTGCAGGGCGTGTTACAGGCCAGTACTACCGGGACAACATCTTGGCAGTCCATGTTGTGCCGTTCGCACGACGTCATGGCCGCCGTTTCATCTTCCAGGATGACAACGCAAGATGTCACAGGGCCAGGATCGTTACAGGTTACCTCCAACAACAGAACATCACCACATTACCTTGGCCAGCACTGAGTCCCGACCTCTCCCCCATCGAGCATGTCTGGGACATGCTTGGACAGAGGTTACGTCAACGTCAACAACGTCCTGCCAATGTCCAAGAACTTGCTGCTGCGTTGCAACAGGAATGGGACAATCTGGACCAAAATGACCTTAGACGTCTCATTAGGAGTATGCCACGTCGGATCAATGCTTGTTTGGCAAACAGAGGAGGATTTACCCGTTACTGACTTGGTTGTGATGCTGTGGTAACTTAGTCTAACGATCATTTGGAATAAATCGATGAATGTGAACTTCGTTTCATTTTGTCATTTGTTTCTTCGTCAGTTTCATTAGGTGACTTTAATAACACTTAAAAATCAAATATCCCCTACTTTTTTTGAATAGTATAGTTGCAGTGATAGGAGAAATGACTACCTGGTAGTGGGACTACCTGTGACAAGCCAATCATATATTGCAAGTTTGAATTAAAACCTAAAAAAAATCAGACTAGAACGGTTTCAGCATGATACGGGCGTTGACTTTCAAAACAAACCCATTTGCGTTAATTACACATATAACGTATCGAAAGGGTTATAATTTTGACAAGTCATTAACTAAGTACTAATTCTTTTTTTAAGTTTGTTGTGTTGCGAAATAGGCTATGTGTTGTATTACATACATCTCTGAAAGCCGTCAACGGGGAATAATGTAGACGGGCATTAACCGTCCAGGGTGCTATGTGGGGAATTTTGTCCAGACACGTGTGTATATACGAGAGTGTAAACATGACCTCGGTTTGATTGGACAGGGGTTTTTCGCGACGACCAACCATATTCTTCTTCGAAATGGTTTAAAAATAAAGAAATGTAAGTACCTCATTCTATAAATATTAAATAAATAGTAGCTAATTACCTACAACCATTTGGTACATCATTTCCTCCAAGGTCAGTCGACTGACAAGGTCATCCACCCTTTCTTGCCATGACAATGATATGTTATTAAAGGGGTATTTATCACCAGTGACAGCAGCAATGTGTAAACAATAAAATATAACTAAAAAATAATACATCGACATTGTAAACAACCCAGATCGCTGTTATGGTTAATAATAAAATAGCACACCCAGTAGATTTCGTGGGAACTATTTCCAGGTGCCAAGGTGATAAGGACAGCTGATTGAAAATAATCTTTGATCAATTTGAGATTTGCCCCTCTAATCATACCTATCGTTTCTTTAATAAAACTTTTGAGCAACGGCGCAGTTGAAGAAGTAAGGTCTGACTTTCGGTTTGGTGGACGGACATTCAGTCATACGAGGGAAGAAAATTGTCTAGAGCTTGACTTCAATAGAACATGGGAAGAATATTCTTCTGGATGTAGAAATCATTGGTTGGGTTTGGAAAATGTTTACAACAGATTTAATCTGCACGTTTTATTCTTTTTAACAATTTAATTCGTGCTCAATGCCGGTATTACAAATTTAATATCGCGAACAGGGATAATTTGTACTCCGCTGATTTTTCGGCCCTTCGGGCGACCCACTAACAAATGTTACATTCAACATTGATGGCAGACCCTTTTCAATCTTTGACCGAGGTTTTAGTAATCACGGTTGTCCAGGACGATTTAAGACCGGATGCTGGGATCTGAATGATTACAGTCTGCATTAGCCCAGTCAGAACAGAACAGTAGGAAGTTAAACCCCATTTCATTTCATTCCCTTAAGATCTCTTAAATACCGCATTTGTATTTGCCCGCTTCTGTTTATATGTGTGCTTTTTTAAATATTTTTTATATAACTAATATCTTAATATTAATTATTCACCTTACGTACACATGGATATTTTAATACCTTTATAAAACCGTGCACAAATAACTCAATGCTTTCACAAGTAAATACTATCGAACTGTTGGAAATATAATATACGACAGATCTTTTACTAAAATATTCTTTCTCGAATAAACATGTAGTATTAATTAAGATAAACACTTTATTTCGAAATGAACCACACCAACAGAGTTAATTGTTGTTTCATTCCATTTCAACGCCTAAACTAATATCTTAATATTAATTATTCACCTTACGTACACATGGATATTTTAATACCTTTATAAAACCGTGCACAAATAACTCAATGCTTTCACAAGTAAATACTATCGAACTGTTGGAAATATAATATACGACAGATCTTTTACTAAAATATTCTTTCTCGAATAAACATGTAGTATTAATTAAGATAAACACTTTATTTCGAAATGAACCACACCAACAGAGTTAATTGTTGTTTCATTCCATTTCAACGCCTAAACGCGGTTCCCGGCCATGACATCCCGTCCCACACTACGCTGACAAGGGTAAAAGACACTGCAAAAATCCCGAGGAACTTTCTCGGTCAACACTGGGATCGAACATTTGACCTCCTGGTTAGAGAACCATTGCCTTAATCAAGGAGTCACTCATTGGAAACAAAATAAATATACTAGATTAAAATTATATCTTGATATGTAATCCATAGTATTAAATTCGTATATTTTTAAGAAGCCAAACATTTACGTATACACGTCACTGTTAATTTTATATATAGGCCTGTAACTGGGCGTGAAGTCTAAAATGTATAGTAGCAAAGAGTCCAATTGATTAGGTCGAGGATTAATAAATCTATAACGGAAATGGACATTTTTGTAATAGAGAAATCCATTCAAATGGGAACCTGTACACCTACTGCTTCGTCCGCCTTATCACCAATCATATTCCCCAAAATTTGATAGAATAATTAATTGGGGCGAGTGCCATGTCATTTTTACCTCAACCATTTGTTCTGATATTTGTACATGTTTAGCCTCATTCTTGCGGATTTTCGGGAAAAATCACTTCAGCACATAAAAGTTCTAACCACCAGAGGGTCCCATACCGTGATTTTGATTGAAGACTTCCAACCCCTACCTTAGCACCTTTTGGATTTTTGCCTTGCACTCTCGCATTCTTAACGTGTTTGATAGTTTTTTGCAAACAATACAATATTGTAAAATGTCAGTCTCTAAAAAGAAATGCCAGTCAAAATCCCGTTCAGTATTTACAACGATATTGATGAAATGAAAATGCATTTCGCAACATTCGAAATCTGCAGATATGTCAAAACGGCCACAATTCACCTTGTTCAAAACGGTGAAAAATATGACCAAAATTGATATACATATATCTATATTTTTTATTATTATTATTAACGCCCGCTTCCATCGACTTGATATCGACGACAATAAATATATTTCATAGGACTTGCATAAAACAGCCCATTTTCCCGAAAAAAATCGACCCATTTGTCTATCTGGACTAACCAAAACCAACAAAAGAGATCATCCTTAGGGTATAAGGAATAAGTATGTAAAGTTTCAAGATGATAAGTTAAGAATTGCGGCCTGTAGGCGAACCACAGTCACACACACACAGGGGCGAGGGCAATATAAAAATCATATTTGATAATGATGAAAACATAAAAAGTCCTGAAATGTGATATAAACATTATAAAAATATCATAAAATTTGATAAAAAAAATATCAAAAATATAATTTGATAAAAAAAAAATAATTTGATAAAAAAAAAAAAAATCATAAAATTTGATAAAAATATCATAAAATATAAAATTTGTTGAAATATAATAAATATGTAATTTTTCAAGATGATAAGTTAAGAATTGCGGCCTGTAGGCGAACCACAGTCACACACACACACAGGTGCGAGGGCAATATAAAAATCATATTTGATAATGATAAAAACATAAAAAGTCCTGAAATGTGATATAAACATTATCAAAATATCATAAAATTTGATAAAAAAAAATATCATAAAAATATAATTTGATAAAAATATCGTATCATAAAAATATAAAATTTGATAAAAATATCATAAAATTTGATAAAAATACCATAAAAATATAAAATTTGTTGAAATATAATAAATCTGTGTACGGTCCCTCTTATTGGACTTTTCCCGATCAATTTATAATATTTGCTTCATTGTTTTTATATTAGTGTAGGGTGCCCCGAGCTAAAAAGTAAATCTCGAAAACTATTTACAGTTAGGGCACTATATCTATATAAACAACAACCCTAGATGACCCTTTATTATAAACTGTTCCGTTTAAATCGTAATTTGCTATCGATTGCATTTTGGATCTCCGAGCATGCGCAACGCAGCTCAGTTTTGGGATCTGTCATTCCCGTGGGTTCCCGCGTACAAACTGTGTGATTTAATGGTATATATGGACCAAAAACATATTCAAACTAATTAATTGGTCATAATTATGCTGAAAATCCTTCTCAAACATTGTAATTGCGAAGGAATGCCCTGCTATTAAAATTCGATCAAACCAGGTCATGTGTACGTCACGTCTTGGGAGTCAGAGGTGAATTCATTGCATACATAAGACGATGCTGTCTTTAATCGCTTACTATTTATTACAAATATCGAATCCTAATTAAATTCTCGGATTATCTACTACCCGCGTCTTTTTCCGTCATTTTTATCTCAGAAAGTATTGTACGTCTAACTATTCATAAAGTTTATCAACTTGTACATCAAGCGCTCAATGTTCGCTTGTGACCTTTGACATTATGCTGTTGATTAGGGGAACCCTTACATTTTTGTCCTGTATACGCTCCATGAGTATTTTTCGGGGAATCCAGTATTTTTCTAGTAAGATTGGATATCTCCACTTTCCATATATACCAAAATTGCCATACTTTTATTGGAAATAACCACCCGATAAATACTTTTCTGGGAACCCATCTTTAATGTGTGCAGTCCAATTTGAATTTATTTAAGTTTTTGTAGATATATTAGACCAATCTATTTATATTTTCTGTATACCCATAGACACATATGTCTATTTATATTGGTATTTATATGTGAATGTGCCTTTGTAAATTTATATTTGATGTCCCATTTAAGAAATAATGTTCGGAAGTATGTTTATTAAAGAAAAATCTCATGGAATAATCAGAATATTAAATAAATAATGACAGGCTATTTTAATCAATCTGGATGAAAAATATGCAATAGCTGATCAAATTATGGACAGATTTGAGATATAGATTGACATTTTGAAGTTGGGTTTGAATAAGTGAATATAAACTAGAAGATACATAATTAAGAACAAATGCAAATTCGGGATCACGTTCCTTCTTGTATGATAGCATTTACTTAAGAATAAATATGCTGATTATATTAATATGTATTTCCTATAACATTATAGGGACTGAAAGCGATCGATAACATTAACAACAAGCCAACAGTGAGGCTGATCTCCCCCGCCGAAATCCCAAAATAAATATAATAGATGACACATATTAATTAATAGCACATTTTTTTTTTCAAAAGTATCGAGGAATCAAACTACACACCAAGTTTCATCACTCTCTATCAAACAGAATCAAGATTATCTTGTCCCAAAGCATTGATTAGCTCTGCTTAGCTTCAGCTCGAAATGTTAATCTTTGAACTCAAGACATTCACCTAATGAACATCTACATCAAGTTTAAACATTCTACCTCAAATAAAAGCAGAGTTGTTATGTTCCAAAGTCTTGACCAATCAAATTGCTTATCGCTCCTTAGCCTAAGCAGAAAATTCGCACCATGCAACTTAGTCAAGGTAATGTTATAATGAATCTATATTCGGAGTTTCATCACCCTCACTTCATTATAACCAAAGTTATCATGTCCCAAAGCATCAACCAATCAGATTGCTTATCTCTGCTTACCGTAAGCATACAATGTTCATCATCAATTAGAATGAGAGTTATTATGTTCCAACGTTAAGACCAACCAAATTGCTTATCGCCCTGCTTCACTGAGCAAAAAATGCTCATTATCGCACTTTGTCAGGTATTGATGTAATGAAACTATACACCAAGTTTCATCGCTCACACTTAATTAGAACTAAAGTTATCGTGTCCCAAAGCATCAATCAAATTGCTTATCTCGGCTTACCCTAAGCAGAACATGCTCATCTTCGACCTTCACCAAGGCATTTATCTAATAAACACCAAGTTTGAACATTCTAGCTCAATTAGAAGCAGAGTTATTGTGTCTCAAAAAGTGTGACGGACAGACCCATTTTAATAGTACCTGTCAGTTTATGAAGAGTCATTGTGATGAAAATGGACCATTGTTAAATCAAAACCAGACCAAGGCAGTTGTACAACAGGTTTCAACTGCCTATTTCACTTGGCCGCCTATTTCTTAAGTATAGCTGTTAAGAGTAAATATGATTTTAAAAACTGATTAGGAAATGCTGTGTATAAATGACGTACCAAACATACCAAATTAATTGCGCTCTTTTTTTCTTTTACAAATAACATAGACTAAGTCTAGAATATTCACCAATACATGCAAACAGTTCCAATAAGTAGATAAGTAATTGATCAGGTTATGTCTATATCAAATAAACATACATGTATATCAAACAAATATGTTTCTTATGTCGATATGACTATTCTTAAGGCTACACCATGTGTTGGTTTCCTGAAATGAATTGAGGACATCTTTTAAAATTAAAAATCGAGTTTTATCTATTCAGAGATGGATATCTGTTAAAACAATAGTAATAACATGTTATTCATAATTTAAACTTTCTATTTGCGAAGTTTATGGATTTTCTGAACTATGGAATTTCTTACGTTACCTTGTAAAGAAAATATAGAAATCACCTACGATCGATAATTGGGTCTGAAACTGTAGAGATATACTGTTTCTTAATCGGCGGACTTAAAAACACTTTTATCATGAAAATCATAATAGCTTGAATTAATTTCATCCTCCTGTATTTTGTGTGTGATAAATTTACACTGCTGTAACAAGGCATGATTTCTGTATCTTGTTTACCTGTAACGTCTGTAATCTATACTGACCATTGATACGGACTTCCCCTGTTCCTGTTTTCTAACGAAATGGTGTATTTAGTCGCGTAGGTCATTTATTGTTTTACATATTAATATATTTAACCACGGTTTATCGCATATGGATTTGTTGGGCGATAATCGATTGGTTGCTAGCAACTAATAATCTGGCACTGAAAATAAAGGCCCGTATTGACGTTTTCATGTTAAGGGTAGCCAAGATATCAAAGTTTCTGTAATTCCATACGTATTTATTTAAATTTATGCATATCTCTATTTGAATGTTACGGAAGCCGCAAAAAAAAATCGTTTCATTTATTTTTTACTTTTGAAAATTTATTCACCCGTCAAAACCACCACTAACGACTAGCCTACACTGTGAACATGGCAATGAATAACCTCCAATTCACAGAGTCTCGGGTATGTTATTTCAACGTCACATTGTTGCAATTAAGTGATATTTACTGGGCCTTATTAATGATAAACTCTATGTGTCATGACGACTGTGAAGGTTATCTCCCTTTGTTGCCTGGGAGTAAATGTCTATACTTGAAGAAAATTGTACAAATTATATAAAGGAAACGCTAAATATAGATACATGTATCGCATATTATATCGCTTGAACATTAAAACTATGCCTAAATAACATTTACGGTTATTTGTCGTCCATTTACATTTAAGATAATGAAATCTTTAAGTCTAGTATAGGAGAACCTTACCAACCAGAATCTATCGACACTAATTATCGTAGTATCTATTTTGAGGCTACTGATGGGGTTAAGGCCTATATGATAATGGAGACCCTCCTTGTAAAGGGTTAAAGTAGGAGGATATTACCGATGAACGAGCCTATCTGAAACGTTGGTATGTCACTCTCTTAGAGGCTCAGTTGACTATATTTTGACAATTGTTATCTCTAGTGTGTCTACAAGAGTCATGCTTTGTGCCTGCCAATCGGAAACCATGGCATGTGTTGGGGCGGAAGTAGTTTAAAATTGCATTATACGAAGGTGGCGCTACTAAATGGCCCGGGTTTGGGTGCAAAGGTTGTCTAATATTTGTGTTGAAGAAGATAATGGTTGTCATCGACTCAAATCACAGGTTAGCAATGCCACAATCCACTCTTGTACGTGACAACGTGTGAGTCTCTAATTTCCTCCAATTTGTAATTATCCCTGTGTGCATGCGAATTATTGAAATGGTGATCTACCATATTTTAGAGTCCCAAAATGAAATGAAATAGTTCATGTTTAATGGACGTTACAATTTACATCCCTCTCTATATATTTTCTTCACAGGCCTCAACTAGAACGCACGATTTCCTATTGTTTTCAAACACAGGCATCTCTTTCGTTCTATTATTTATTTAATTAATCATTTTGTATTAAAAAAAAGTTTTGAATCGATTTATCTTGATGGAAGATCTTATAATACAATGTTTGACCAAAAAAATAGATCATTATAGAGCTTTCGACCAGCTATTAAAGCAATTATAAAATGTATTTACATTTGATGGCAATTGATTTTACTATGGTGCAATAACCCCGGGTATAAACAAAACATCTGTTTATTCAGGTAGTCGAAAATAGAGAATCTATTGAAGATAAAAACTTAAGCAAATTATCTCGAAGCAATTAGGCACGTCTTAAAACGATTTGAGGCTGATATAAGACGCTACTTCCACCGGATTACACGTAATCAAACAGTCGTTCTCAAACGAAGACGTAGAGAAATTAATCTATCAGTAAAATGTCTTGTTTCGCGTTTCTACTATTGTTAACTTATGTGTCTGGAAATGATAAATCTGCACTCTTTACAAAAACCAAGGTTATCATAAACAAATGTGACCAAACAACCAATCTTGGGATAGTTAATGCAGTTCAAAATAATGTTGACTGCGCTATTCTATGCTCATCTGATGTTGATTGTCGAAGATATTTGTATTGTTCATCCACGTCATCCTGCAACTTATATCTAGATGGCACTGATTGTATTATGACCAGCGACTCCATTGATTGTTCCTGTTATAGAAAGGTTAGTATTTTTATCTTGTAAAATGGTCTGCTGTAACACCCTGGGAGAAAATGAACGCTAAGCCCCAAGGAAGAAGCAGGAGTATCATTTCTATTGATGGTATTAATTTTATTCAAACGACTCCAATGATTGCTCCTTTTATAAAACGGTTAGTTTACACCATGTAAATCAATTCAACGTACTCATTCCCCCACCCCCACACACATAAATAAAACACACAAATTAGTATTATGACACGTGAACCGCACTCGTGAAACATGCAGGATAACAGGCGTTCGCATGACAAAGTAGTACAGTATAAGGTTTTTCAAAAAATATTGAGCATAGTCACTTCCCTACAGTGACATCCAAGAGACACGTACAGAAACATCAGAGTTTTTAAGACGCATTTCATACTTATCAACATTCAATTTGTTTGATACTTTTAAAAAGCGCAAATAATAAAAAAGACCAGTTAAAAATAAGTTTTACCAGATATTCAAAAGCTTGCGGTTTTGTTCAATTGTGAAAATCCGAGAGAATTTAAATCAGTTAAGGTGATTTCTAGATCAGTTTGGTGCTCCACAACAAAATTCTCAGCACGAGCTTAGGGTAAACGCAGCAACTAACCCCACAAAAAGTTATCGCCTGGCGTCGCCCGTCATTTAAATCTACATTATCCCATTTCAATATAACGATGCATCATCATAGAACATGATAAATCATAAAAAATGTTTTTATTTTTCAAAAGAAATCACTTATCCATTCGGCAATCATTAACACGGGAAATTCAGAAGAAGAAAAAATATTTTGCAACATAGAAGGTTCGGATGAAAAATCTGAATAATATCTGAAATGAAATAAAATGGTGTTTAACGGCTTATATTATTGATGTGGTAACCGGGCCAGTGAAGACGCATGCATACTGTAGTGTACTATGTGGGACATGGCTGGACAGCAGCGTTTCCGCATACTCTTCTTGGAGTGTCAACTGTACAGTTTTCGTTCCCATCCAAACGACTAGACTCATTTTCTTTGTTAGTCCCACATAAAGCAAACCTGACAAGTAAAAACCGGGTTTGACGACGACCATACGCATTAATTCAGAAAGCCCTCCTCGCTGCACTACTGACAAGAGGAAATCAGAGTAGAAAATCCCGAGGAATTTACTCAGCACCAAGGTTGAGACCGGGACCTTCTGGTTTGTGAACCAGTGTCATGCTGACTGAATCACGTTACTACTTACCTAATTAAATTAACCAAACTTTACCTGAGCCAAACGTAACGTGTTATCTGTGTATTATATCTTAATATGTATCTTGTTTCTGAGTAGTCACGCATGTATCACAGTTTTTAACGGGATTCTTCTGATGTTGCTGGGGATTTTGGGGGTGGGGGAAAGCTAAACCTGGTTACTTTTTAGTGTAAATAGTGTAAAAATATGGTATGTGGGCCCTCTAGAGGTCATAATTTTGATGCCACTTAAACATTTTTATAATCCAACGATCTTGGTTCCTGTCGAACTTCACGCACATCGGATTGTAACTTCCTGAATAATGGCCCTTGATTGTGCGAAAAATCACGGATTTAGCTTGCTGTCCCTCTGGTGGTCACAATTTTTATCCGATTTAAAAAACCGTTTGAATATATCACCATTTCACCATAATGATGGTTGAGTTCTAATTTTGTGAAAATCAGATGAAAACTGCCGGGCAAAATAGCCGCCCCTCGTATACAAACATTGTAAAAAATATGTTATATCAAGGTTGTGGACCCTCTAAAGGTCACAATTAAATTTATGTTTATATCACAAACATGATATCGACAGTACGCATATCCGAATTTAACTCCCTAGATTATGACTCCCTATTGTTCGAAAAATCGTGGACCCGCTAGAGGTCACAAGTTGTATTCAATTTTAAAAAAACGTTTAAATATATCACCGCTACACATAAATGATAGTCGGGTTCGAATTTCGTAATAATCTGACCCAAAATGCCTGTTCCTTGTACGCAAATAGTGTAAAAGTATGTAATACCAAGGTTATGGACACTCTAGAAGTCACAATTTGTGTCCTATTTTGATGGAACTTGAAATGTATAATTATAATCCAACAATCTTGGTTTTCAATAATTGCGCATATCGGACCGTAACTTCCTGAATTATAGCCCATTGATTGAACGAAAAATCACGTTGTTAACTTGTTGGGCATCTAGAGGTCATAATTTTTATCCGATTTAAAACAACAAAACATTTTGAATGTATCCCCGTACGCAAATAGTGTAAAAGTATTAATACCAATGTTGTGGACCCTCTAGAAGTCATAATATTTATCCGATTTGATGAAACTTATATTCCCAATATTTCAGTCCCTTTCGATAGCTTGTGGATTCTCTAGAGCTCACAATTTTTTTACGATTTTAAAAACTGTTTAGATATATCACCATTTCGCCATAATAAGGTTGAATTCGAATTTCGGGAAAATCGAAATGAAACTGCCCGACAAAATGGCCGCTCTTTGTACGCAAATTGTGTATAAGTATGTACTACAAAGGTTATGGACCCTATTCAGGTCACAATTTTTATCCAATTTTGATGAAACTTAAAACATTTTTATATTAAAAAAATCTCAGTCCTTTTCGATATTTGCGCATTTCCGACCATACCTTCCTGGATTATGGCCCCCGATTGTACGAAAAAATCGCTTTTTAGCTTGTTCTCTATCCATCTCTTGCAAAATGTGGGCTATCTTGCTGGGCAACCGCTGGTATATATCCGGTGTGGATTGAAAACAGAGAGGGGGGGATTTTATTATTTTGTTTTTAACTTTCAGAATTTCGACTGTGATCAGACTGGATGTACCTGTCCATACGGATACTATGGTGAGCGATGTCAAAAGATCATTGAAGGTAAATGTTCCCACAAAAACGAGTCAGGTACAAGCTTTGGAAAGGCTTCATTTCAGCATACATTTATTTTCATTTACTTCTACATGCTACTTTCAGTCCTTATATTTAAAATTAGATGTATTAGACATGCAGTTTCAATATTTTGTACAGAAGACGAATGGGGTGCAATGTCCATTGTTATTATTTTAGACATGGGACGTTTGGACCATGACAAATTTATGAAACATTTTCTATTTATTTTCCTGGAACATTAACTATTTAAGATGCGTGGAAAGTACATACTACAAGATTTTATTATGTGGTGTTTTTAACACAAGATTTCCGTAGGATGTTGGAATTTTCCAAATATGTCTTATTATCATTCTCTTCGTGTAATACCACATCACACAACTATTTTGAGCCTGTGGTGTTTTTCATCACAATAGTTCAAGGTATTTCACTTGGGGAAAAAATAATTCAAAAATGTTTTCTCGGACAACCTTATCTCTCTGTATCGTACAAGATCCGATTTCAAAAATTAATATTGTGGAAAGACAATGTCCCAGCAATCATGTACACTGCGATGAACCCGAAGAAGTTCTAGTTCACATTTCCGTCTATCCAGCTGACAATGACGTTAATATTCAGCATGCAGAAATGAAATGGGGTTTAACGTCCTACTGTTCTGATCCGAACTGGGCTAATGAAGACGGGCATACGCCATACAGTGTGCAATGAGGGGAATTTTGCCTGGGCAGCGGCACTACGACCTACTCTTATATTGACTTCCAACTGTCAAGGAATCTTTTACGTGCACGCCAATGTGTACACGGGACCTCGGTTTTTCGTTCTATCCGAACGACTAGACAGCTGTCCTTGCCGGGACCTCCGTACTGCATCACTGACAAGGGGGAACCACGCCGGAAAATCTGGATGAACTTTATCGGCCAATGGAGGGATCGAACACCCGACTTCCGGGCTAGCGAGCCAGTGTCTTACCCACCGTGACGGATTTAAAAATATATGAATATTAGATCTTCTCCACTCAATATACATCTGACGAGTTGGGGGGGGGGGGCACACACCTTGTGGAAATTTTGTGGCGAAATACACCACAGGCAACTGCGATGAACCCGAAGAAGTTCCAGTTCACATTTTCTTTTGTTGCTATCCAGCATGCAATATATGAATATTAGATCTTCTCCACTCATTATACATCTGACAGCTAGGGAGTGGCGGGCGGGGGCACACACTTTGTGGAAATTTTGTGGCAAAATACACCTAAGACCAAAAACACGAATCACAACTATTCTCAGTCGAAATTCTTGATGGTTGTTGAGACATTGTTTTTCACAATATTTATTTTCCGAATCATATTTTATTGTTCAGAATTTGGCGCAGCTGTTTGATTGACGTCAATATCACAGGTTTCGGCCTATGATGTTTCGACCAGTGGACATATTGGCTTAGGATGTTTCGGCCAATTTTACAAACAAAAACAAAGAGACGATCTAGTCAAATGTACAGCAATGATCCATACCCCTAAAAAAATATGGACAATCTTGACATAAAAAACACATAACCACGAACCAGACGAGAATGCTATTACCAAAGACATATGCAGACAAAACATGAAAACAAAGAGCGGGAGGGGGTGCTGGTAACGTCCACTCAACACAAATTAGGTCATTTCGGGACTAACATGGTTCAATCTTTAGCCGTAGCCGTGAGGGGAAACTGGAGGACCCGGAGAAAACCTACGAGGCTGGACCGGCAACCCTACTTCTTATCATGTACAACCGGGGAATTGAAACCACACCAATTGACTCAATGATCTACCTTATGATACAGCGCGCACACGCTAACTATTCTGTTACGTAAGTTACATAATGTCAGATCTTATGGACGCTTCGTGCCATCTTGACACGTGAAAGTGGAACTGATTTTAATATCAACCTGTCTGCTATCGAAACCCTTGGTGGTCCTGGTGGAATTCATTAGTCATTTCCATAATATAAGCTTATTTAATTGTTTTATTTAATTTCCTTTGTCTTATAAGCAAATTTAACTGAACTGAATGTTAAATCTGATATGATGCAGTAGCCAGATGTGTAATGAGATCATTAATTTTGTCAGAAGGGTTGATAAAGCCAGGGACGAGACGAGGCCGGGCAGACTAGGCGAGGGCGTCTAGAAGTTAACTTGGGACCGGCAGGACTCGAGTTAATCGGGAGTTGGTACCCAAGGGTGTCAAGCCAAGCCAGGACCATGGCTCCCTCAACACCAGCTAATTACGGATTCTTAAGTTTTGTACACTACAAGAACTTAACATAGATGGTTCTTGGTCCATGACAAACAGGCGACAATCCACAACCTTTCTTACCACAAATGAATCTGTTGAAAATTGGGCAAAACGCCTCTATTAAAAACGAAGTGGACGAAATATCTAAGGCCGAAATGTCCATTGACCGAAACGTCCTACATTCCCTGAAATGCAGTGTTCACAAAAGCTCGAAACCAATATCGCGAAAGGTAGAGTAAAAACAAGAGCATCGCTAACGCTGCAATATCCATCCACATTCCTGCTTTGATTGATATAGTACTTTTTAAAATGAAGAAAATGAAATATGAAATGGTGCAAAGAAGGGTGGGTGTTGTTTTTTTTAAAATTTACACTAAATATTAACAAAGAAGTGGGTTTGACAGGGAGTCGGACATGAACCAAAATAAGTAGATGTTATCCTTACAGTATAAGGAATAAATATGCCATGCTCCAAGATGATCCATTCAGAATTCCAGTCTGTGGACAAACAAAAAACAAAAAAAATGGGTGTGGCTCAACCTCTGAGAGTTGGGCATGGACCATTATAAATAGGTACAACACTATGAAGGATCATTCCGAATTGTGTCCAAATATGTTAATAATTGCAACCTGTAAATCATTTACAGACAAAATATTAAAACAAAAAGTGGATGTGGCACCGCCCTAAGAAGGGGGGGGGGGGGGTCATGCACCTAAATCAATAGTTGCCGCCCTTAGGGTATAAGGAATAAGTTGCCGTCCTTACGGTATAAGGAATAAGTATATCAAGTTCCAAGATAATCATTTCAGAATTGTGACCTTCGGGCGCTAAACACAAAAATTGGGCGTGGAATACATATGCCGATTTCCAAGCTGATCCATTCAGAATTGCGGCCTGTATACTATAAACACAAGAATTAGGCGTAGCTCTTCCCTTGGGGTCGGGGCATGCACTAAAATCAATAGTTGCCGTCTTTAAACTATAAGGAATACATATGCCAAGTTTCAAGACGATCCATTAAGAATTGCGTGTGGCTCTTCCCCAGGGGATTGGGCAGTGACCAGAAACCAATAGGGGTCATCCTTAGGGTATAAGGAATAGGATATGTTAAGAATATCGGCCTGAAGATGAAACACAAGACATGCAAAAATTGGGCGTTACTCTGTCCCAGCGGTCGGGCATGCAACAAAAATAATAGAGGTCATCCTTAGGGAATATAGTAAGGGAGGTAGGTTCAGGTTGTTTCGAAAATCGCGCACAAAATTTCTTCTATGCTAGATGATTGGACAGCAGTGCCTGATACTCTGAACATTGATTCTTAAATTGCGAGTGGCAGGTCGGACAAAACATCGAAATTTCGAGTTTAATTCGACTTTTGCGTACAATTCAGGCGTCGCCAAAAACACTGCTTAAGAAGACCCCCCGACCCTTCCTGCCTTCCTTTAAAACGCCCCCTTTACCCCCCCCCCCCCCGAGAGATGAGTTAATTCGACTTCCGCCTACAACATTATTTTTTTTGTTAAAAGTTTCACTATTGGTTCCCTAGAACATAACACTAACATAAGAACGCGAAACCCGCTTCTATCCCAGATAAGAACGCCAAACGGAGGGGGGGGGCATGGGTGACATGACCAAAATGACTATTTAATTCGACTTTCGCGTACAAGCTCAGATGTCATCAAAAACACTGCTTAAGAAGACCCAAGACCCTTCCTTCCTCCCTTAAGAACACCCCCCCCCCCCACCCGAGAGATGAGTTAATCTGACTTCCGCGTACAACATTATTTTCTTCGTTAAAGTTTCACTATTGGTTCGCTAGAAAATAACACTAACTTAATACCCTCCTATCCCGGATAAGAACGACAAAACGGGGCACCCATTGGTGAAATAACCAAAATGACGATTTAATATGACTTCCATGCATACATCGACCAACCTCAAATGTCACCAAAAACACTGCTTAAAAAGACCCACGACTCTTCCTTCCTCCCTTATGACCCCCCCCCCCCCCAATTGTTGAAACATTGATTACGCATCTATCACTATGATAAAATAATATTTGGAACGTGTTTAACCAGTTATATCACATATGTGCTAATGACTGGCACCAATATTGTCCTTTCAACCTACAAATATCATCCTTCCTGCCTCTGTAAACTTATTACAAATAACATCAAAAACTCTGCTTAAGACGATCCCCGACCTTTTCTTCATCCCTTACGAACCCCCCATTAGAACAATTTTTTTTGCGTTTAACGTTTCAGGTTTCACTATTAGTCCACGGGTTAGTACGGGTTTTATATAGCTCGGGTCTCGGGGCTGATTTAGTTGATGACCCTAAAAGCACCTCACGTCCATTCTGTTTCACCAAAATACAATCTGTAGGATTCGTCATACTCATGATATTCCAGTTTTGTCCATTTCACCCTCGCACCACGCCGTTTTGTTGTCCATATCCGAGATAGAAAAGGTTTTCGCATTTTAAAGTTGGTGTTATGTTCTAGTGAACCAATAGTGAAACCTGTAACGAAAACATTAATGTTGTACGCGGAAGTCGTAATAACTCACCCCTCAGAGGGGTAAGGGTGGTGTTCTTAAGGGATGAAGGAAGGGTCGTGGGTCTTTTAAGCAATATTTTTGATGACATCTGACGTTGGTCGGCGTATGCACGAAAGTTAATCGTTGTACGCAAAAGTCGAATTAAATCGTTATTTTGGTCATTTCACCCATCCCCCCCCCCCGTTTGACGTTCTTATGTGGGATAGAAGGGAATTCCGCGTTCTTAACGAAAGAATTAATGTTTTACGCGGAAGTCGAATTAACTCATCTCTCATGGGGCTAACGGGGGTGTTCATAAGGGTGGAAGGAATGGTCGGGAGTCTTCTTAAGCAGTGTATTTGGCGACATCTAAAGTTGGTTGTTGTACGCGAGTCAAATTAAATTCGAAATTTCGAAGTTTTATCGGACCCCCCCCACTCCCATTGGAAAGGGACCCGCAATTTAAGAATCAAGGTTTAGAGTATCGGACACCGCTGTCCACTCATCTAGCATATTATAAATTTTGTGCGCGATTTTCGAAACAACCTGAATCTAACTCTGTTACTAATAAGGATTAAGTATGAAAGTTTTCAAGACAATCGATAAAGAATTCTGGCCTGTACGTGAAACAGAATGAAAATGGGCGCGGCTCTGCCCCCGGGGTTGGGCAAGCACCACAAAAATAGGGATGTTCCTTAGGGTATAAGGAATAAGTATGCCAAGTTTCAAGATGATACGTTAACAAATGCGGCCTGTAGACCACAAACAAAATATAAAAAATGGACGTGGCTCTGTACCTGGTGGTTGGACATACACCGAAAACAACATGGATCATCCTTAGGATATAAGGAATAACTATGTAAAGTTTCAAGACGATCAGTTAAGATTTTTTTCTAAGTCCAATATTTTGTGGAACTCTTGTGGTGAAAAACACTACAGACCCAAAACACTATCAAAATTATTCTAAGTCGAAAATTCTGTGGAATGTAGTACCACACAGGCACAGAGGGGTGTCTGAGAAGAAATTTTTGAAAAAATTGATATTTTTTCTAAGTTCAATATTTTGTGGAACTCTTGTGGTGAAAAACACCACAGACCCAAAACACTCTATCAAAATTATTCTAAGTCGAAAATTTTGTGGAATGTAGTACCACACAGGCACAGAGGGGTGTCTGAGAAGAAATTTTTGAAAAAATTGATTTTTTTTTCTAAGTTCAATATCTTGTGGAACTATTGTGGTGAAAAACACCACAGACCCAAAACACTCTATCAAAATTATTCTACGTCGAAAATTTTGTGGAATGTGGTACCACACAGGCACATAGGGAGGTATGAGAAGAAATTTTTGAAAAAATTGATATTTTTTCTAAGTTCAATATTTTGTGGAACTCTTGTGGTGAAAAACACCAAAATCTTGTGGAACTCTTGTGGTGAAAAACACCACAGACCCAAAACACACTATGAATATTATTCTTCAGAAACCCAGTGTCTTGTGGAACTCTTGTGGTGAAAAGTTCCACACAAATGCCCCCAAACCTTGCCATAGATGCGTTAGCGACAAACACACACACACACACACACACCCATACACTGTGGACGTATAAAAGGACTACAAACTTTCAGATTTATGAACATGCAAACAAGAAATATCGGATTTGTCTAAAATAAATTGCAAAGTTGACCACAGGCGGTACGATTTTAATTTCGTTTATGTTTTCCGTTATTGTGATTTAAATTGCTGCAAAATAACTTTTAAAAAATATAAATTCGTAACTTTCATAAAAAAAAAAATGACTTTGTATTTGTCATTTATTTTTTTCAAATTTATTTTTTTTCTAAGTGAAATATCTTTTGACAGATCATAAACACTTATCAAAATTATTCTACAATGATCTGGAATATGGATAATCTTGTTGAATGTTGAACCACACGGAAATATATGGTTGTCTGAGAAAAAATGTCGTGTAGAAATCTTGTGGTGAAAAACATCATAGACCAAAACACTTTGAACACAAAATCTCCACAACTTGCCATATATTAATGATTTTGATGCCTACACTTAAACATACATTATGCAAGAGATATATCTGCCTATTACAGGTCTTTTGTTGGGCCTGAAATGTTATATAAACTATTAATTAAACGTTTAACATGAAAAGATCTTAATCAACTCTCGATGCCATCTTATGTGTCGGATTTTCACTGGATTTGAAACCGATTGACTGTTCAACACTCATTTATGATTAATCCAAAAACAGATAATCGAGACTAGGTTTGTTTTTATCGTACCGACTTTAGTAATGGTGATCGAAGCTAGGCCTAAAATTCAAACGCTAATATCTCGGTTCCGAGTAGAGCAATTTGACTGAAATTTTCAGTATATTCCCTTTACATTATCCAGAGTTTAACTATTATAATGAGAACTGTTAGCTCTTTATCTAATCTTCCATAATGCCCCTTTAACACGCACAATAATTGTCTCTACGGTTGAATGTTTCAGATTGCACTGACGGATATGATATTGGTATCAGGAACACCAATCAAGTCGTAGCATCTATCCGGCCGATAGGGGCCAGTGAACCAGTGCATGTGCTCTGTGTGTTTGATAATGGTGGCTCAACCTTTATTCTTAACAGACTGGTTGAATGCGACACCGAAAACTTCAACAGAACTATGTCCGACTACAAGACCGGGTTTGGCGAGGTAGTATTCAATAGTTGGGTCGGCCTAGAGAACATTGTACGCATACAAGCTGCACACTCTGGTGAACGTGAGACTGTTATGGAAATTTATCTTCAGGTCGATAACTTTGAATGTAAAATCGAATATCGGGATGTAACTGTTAAGAATGAGATGTCGGGGTATGCCTTCTCTTCAACCGGGGCTGTTGCTGTTTCTTCGTTTACATATTGTGGTGATGCTCTTTTATCCAGTATTAGTCTATTAAATCAGTCCTTTTCAACCACTGATATTGACACCACGGGGAACTATGAGTGTGCCATAAAATATGGAGGCGGGTGGTGGTATAAGGACCATGTGGATTGCACAAGGGGTTTCCTGACTGGGACCATGGATGGTTCAGGGAGAGACAACTTCTGGTTCGACGCCAATGCCATTAACCTAGTTGCAGTTCAGTTAAGATTTATTTGAATCACTAGTTTTATTATATTTAAGAATATAATCTATAATATCTGAATCTGGTTAATTAAAAAAGACCAGCAGTCGAGACACATAAATAGGAATACCTGTATTATGAATAATTTCCAGAAGGGAGACTATTGGTTTTGCGCAATCCCACAATAAATGAATAATCTCTAGTGCAATAATGCCCAGTCGGAGCATAACATGTCCATCCAGAATAGTTAGCGTTGTTAGATAGATGATGATTATTAAGTTTGGATAATAAAAAACAAAAACAATCAGTTGCCATGCAAGATACACCTATATTTTGCAAGAGATGGGCGGTAAATCACAATGTTTAGCATAAAATTTGAGAAACTATAGCCTCAATCGTATTCAGGAGACTTTCGATAAAGGAGGGTAACTCCGGAACGGAAGTTTTCTTAACACTGAATAACTATAGTGTTATCCTCTAATGAACCCAATGCTTCCGACCATAACTTTGCAATACATGTCACAGAAACTGATACTCGATAGTGTTCGTCCTCCCATGACCCCTATGCTTGAAATTAAACTTGTAAAAACTCTTTGTATCTATCGCGGAAAAGGGGGCATAACTCTAGAACTGAAGGTCCGATGCTTACCAAAATTAATCTCATCCGTGATCTTATGATTATTAAAAAAAATATTTTAAGTTTCGTCTAAACATTGTACATATTTCACATTTTGCTTAAAATTCATAACCCAAAACGTTGAGGTCTGATATGTACACTTAAATCAAACTCATCGACCGTGCAGCGTTTACTTCTGCTTTTAAAACAATTCACAATACAAGTAAATGTCTCTGTCTGTGTGTCGGTATCAGACATGATTGTACCGGTATCACATAAACCAACAGGGCAAAGCAATCTTTGAGTTTCTTAATTTCTCTGTGTAAGCCATAATGATTACTTAGTGATTGTTGTAAGTATGTGATGTTTAAACAGTTGGTTTCAATGTAGAGGCATGCCCCCGAGACACCTTATTCATAAATCTCATGTACTTTTTTGTTATATACATTTTAAAATGATTCCATATAGATTGGACATGTTTCTTTTAGGCATTAGTGGATGTCTTTTTGGTTTGCACCTTATTATATGTACGCATTTCATTTTGTACAGCCCGCGTGCGCACTTAGATTAACATGTGTCAAACAAGAACAATACATTACTGAAACAGGAAGCTTATGTTGTTATTTGAGCCAGATACACAGATTTTATTATGTTTCACTCAATAAAGTTAAATGTTTCACTCAATAAAGTTAAATGTATATCAGATGTATTATTTGAACAGCGCACAATGCTCCATTCTGACAACAAAAGGTTACGCAGTCAATTTTAGCAAATAAAAAAACACCGCTTCTGTTGACAAAACTCGGCAGTGGTAATATAAAAATAGTAAACAAGCCAACCTGTGAGGCTGATGCCCCCCCCCCCACACACACACACAGAAATCCCAAAATAAATAGGTAACACATATTAATTAATTGCACATTTATCTTTTTCAAAATTATCGCGCAATCAAACTGATTATCTATACTTAGTCTACTGTCTGTTCCAAGTGATACTACGATTCGAAAATTGCTTGCCATTTCTTTAATTTTTATTTAAATTCGCTAAAACATTATGAAATAACTCGAATGCTCATTAAATACAGATCAACTTATATAGCTTTTCTCCCTTGAAAAATCGTGGTTTGTTGACAACTTGGTACTGAAAACAGCCTAGTTATCTGGAAGATCCTATGCGGAAAAGGGGTGCTGGTTAGCTTTAAGTCGTTTCGCCCTAACTGGATGTGTAGGTGGTTGTTTCAACCCAGTAGAATATAACTCTTTTGAAAGCGTTATTTACTGGATCCCAGACCACGGTTGTTTGTCCCGCTGACTGGAAGCATTTTTCGGCTAAATAAGCAAGGTGGAAACAGAAAAAAAACCCATATTAACCCGAACAAAAACAATATTGTTTCACAGTGTTAAACACTAATAAGTATTATTGACGCGAAACAAACGGACGAATTCTCCTTCACTAGACATTTCTAACCGAATGCACCCAATTTGTAAAGTACCTGTCTACCATAATGCGATATACTAAGTTTCACCACTCTCCATCAGTTAGAATCAAAGTTGTCTTGTCCCAAAGCATTGACCAATAAAATTTTGCTTAGTTCTGCTGAGCTGTAGTGGGAAATGTTAATCATTGAACTCAGTCAACACATTCACCTAATGAAGATTAAACATTCTACCTCAAGTAAAAGAAGAGTTGTTCTGTTTCAAAGTTTTGATCAATCTCGCTAGTTAGCCGAAGCAGAAAATTCTTATCATCGAACTTAGTCAAGGTATTAATATAATGAATCTATACTCGGAGTTTCAGCACTCTCACTTAATTAGAACTAAGGTTATCGTGTCCCAAAGCATCAACCAATCAAATTCTTTATCTCTGTTTACCCTAAGCCGAAAATGCTCAACTATACCAAGTTTGAACAATCTAGCTCCATTAGGAGTTATTGTGTCCCAAAAAGTGTGCCAGACGGACAGAAAGACAGACAGATTTTAATTGGAATTAAACTTTCAAATTTAAAATGTGTGAACAATTTAACAAGTAATCTATACTACAAAAGAACCCATATTATGGTTTTCAATTTTGAACTTAATCAATAACTGATGGCCCAAAATAACGCAGATTATGATCAGATTATGATCTTAATCCAAATTCCTTTCGGTTACTAAATTTAAAATGTTATCTTTCTTATCTTCAGATAAACATCCCCATTTACTGAACAGTGGCTACTGGGTTTTTTTCCACTTTACATAGAATATCTTGCGGTTTTACCCATGGGTCTTCCCATATAGTCCACTGGTAACGCCGTTTCTTTTTTTGCATGAATTTAACCTCTATTTCTTCAGCATCGTGATACACATGTACGACTTGTCCAATAAACCATTCGTTACCATGTACAAAATCAGCATCGCGAACTTTTGATGTGTTGCTTTATTTTCCGCTACATTGTCGATTTGTTTTTCTGGAATTGACTCATCAATTACAGTTACCTCCTTCAAGTTACTCGATGTTTTCGCGGTCATGTCGGTTTTTTTCCCATATTTCATAATAACAACTGGTTTCCTTGGATGCAACTGTGGAACTTCCCATCCCAACAACAACGAGTAATTTAAATGTTCTTCAAACTGCTGATGTGGTTCTTGCCTCTTCACATGTATCTGAAGATACAAACATAAATTTCTCCCCTTTATATTGGAAATGTAATGAAAATGAAATGAAATAGGGTTTAACGTCCTACTGTTCTGCTCCTAAACTGGGCTAAAGAAGACGGGCATACGCCATACAGTGTGCTATGAGGGAAATTTTTCGTCCCATCCTTGTCAGGCCCTCAGTCCTGCATCACTGACAAGGGGAAACCACGCCGGAAAATCTGGATGAACTTTCTCGGCCAATGCAGGGATCGAACACCCGAAGACGGGCATACGCCATACAGTGTGCTACGGGGGAAATTTTGCCCGGGCAGCGGCGCTACGGCCTACTCTTATATCGAATTCCACGGGACCTCGGTTTTTCGTCCCATCCGAACGACTAGACAGCTGTCCTTGTCAGGCCCTCCGTCCTACATCACTGACAAGGGGAAACCACGCCGGAAAATCTGGATGAACTTTCTCGGCCAATGCAGGGATCGAACAACCGACATCCAGGCTAGCGAGCCAGCGTCTTACCCACTTAGCCACGTGATCCCCCTTTATATTGGAATTGATTGACCATTGAAAAAAGTAATTTGCGTCCTGAATGACAGCTTTTCCACACCTTACAGCTTGATCAGTCATTCTTTTTGTCGTACTCCCAAGACCATCGCATGGACTTTTACCGTGGCCCACCTTAAAATAATTCCATCGTGCTTTAGTTTCATAAATATCTTGATGGTTACCTACTGTACATAATATCTGTTTTTTGCGATATGTGTCCCGTAATGTATTGTATCTACATCAGGGTCTAATATCTTTATATCGGGAATTAGGTTGTCTAGAAAAGCATGTACTGTTGTTGATGAATGCCCCAATTCGTCGGAACCTACCACAAAACTTGTATGGAACAACTCACGTATACTGTTTCTGTATTAAGCTACAACTGGGTGTAGAGTTACGCTAGTCTGATTCCAATAAGTGGACACGAACGCTTCAACTGATTTACAGTTAAAATTCTCAGTCAAGTCCATCTGTATTATAAACTGATGCTGTGGAAGATTTTCTTACTGTTTTTTTATTTACTTCGTTGTATTGTTTTCCATCGCGATATGAATGTTCTTTGAAGTCAGCGGTCTGGGTCCTCACCAAATCATTAAATGTATTTTTCTCAATTTCACTCTTATCACACACTTTTCTTTGCCTTTCTCTGTTACAGTTGTCCTCTTCCATTGGCCAAGTTTTATTTTCTCAGGTAAAACAACCAAATTAAAAATGTTTAACTCGTTTTCCTTCAGGTAAGTTTCCTATTAGAAAAAAACTACCATACCCTCCTTTCCGAGTGATTTTAAAATTAGTGCCATTTACTGGTGATTGGTGCATAAACAGCAACTTTTAACAGAATATATCTTGGTCTCATTCTGCAGAATGTGCCTAGCGATAAAAACATATTAGGATTCCGATGAAAATTTCTTGTATAAATTATCTAAATAATCAGTTAAAGCCCGAGTTTGTTTTCTCACACCAATTTCACCCTTCTTCGAATCAGTTTTTCCGGGTTGACACCGACTATTGTCATGTCTTTCTAAGAAAGTGGTTACATTTTCCGAATGCTACATCGCTTGACTTTTAGAATGTAACCGATTTGACTTTCCGCCAGACCATAGTTTATTGATTCCGTGTTGCTTACTTAACGAATTTAACCCACGGTATTTTTTGATAATCTTTACAGGCGCTGTACTTTTTAACGTTTTTACTTGCTCTTTTATGTTGCCAATCTCGATTCGTGCTGGTCTGATTTCAGAAATTTGAGCATTCCAAAATATAAATCGTTGACTTCTAGGTGTTTGTGGTAATGAATGTGACCTTGTGTTATTTGTAACTGATCTTTGATTCCGTCTCAATTCTTTTTTCTTGTTTTTTAAATGTTTTATTTCTCTATTTGCCTTCGTCAGCGCCCTGCTGATTCTCCTCCTCGTTCCTGGGCGCCTATTATTTACAAGGTTCATAAGGCACGGATGCTGCAAAACTCCCATAGCCACTTGATTCGGCATTTGCTGAGTGATCCTATTCATGTACATGGTTCTTGGAAATTGTTAACCATAAATTTATGTGATGCATTCAAGTACCCAATCAATTACGTTCACGGTAATAAATTTAGTCGTAAGTGATTTATGCTCTAAAAGGGTGGATGTTTGGAGAACGACCGAAGAGAGGAAGACGGGCAAGTGACAGCGACCTTTGACCTCCAACAAGTTATAACATAACCGAAGCCCACTGTTGGCAGCGCGTATAATTTCACAATTCAAAACATCTCAGACCAATGGAGGCCACTGCTTTACATGGTATGAACGTGAGGGTAAGCGGAGTACCAACGAAATCGCCTCCATTCTCAAAAACTGGATAAAAATCCAGGATGGGAAAGGTGTCAAGAAGATAATCCAACAGTGACTCGTGTGGGTGACAAAACCTCAGCAGAATTATTTACTCATTCATGACCTAATGAGAACGAAAAATATTACCTCAACTGAGCAAACATTCTTCGAACCGGGCCAGAAATTGCATCGAAAACGTGATTTTTCGTAAATCAGGGGCCATAATCCAGGAAGTGACGGTCCGATATGTGCGAATATCAAAAGGAACCGAGATCGTTGGGTTATAAACATACATTTCAAGTTTCGTCAAAATCGGATAAACACCGTGACCTCTTAGAGTGTATACAAGCTATAAACGTGATTTCGTACAATCGGGGGCCATAATCCACGAAGTTACGGTCCGATACATGCCAATTTCGAAAGGAATCGAGATCTTTGGGGGATACACCTATATTTCAAGTTTCATTAAAGAAATCGAGGTCTTTGGGAGATACACCTATATTTCAAGTTTCATTAAAATCGGATAAAAATTGTGACCTGTAGAGTGTCCACAAACAAAATGGGAACGGACTGGGGCGACGACAATGTGCGTCCACATGAAAATGTAGGCGTATAAAAAAGGATTATATTTTAAAGGGGGTAATTTCAAACAATAGAGAGGTTAAGATTTGACCCGAGAACGAGAACGAGGTGACGTCGTTCTCGTTCTCGTGGGCCTCGACGCTAAAATGCGGTTAAGACCCCGGCTTTAGCCACTTTAAGCCCATGGTCATAGCTAGGTCTACATCAATTATCAATATCATACAATACACGTATTCACGTAGGCCTATGTATTAAACTGTTAATATTATGTAAGTAGGCTAAAGCTAAGATAAGAAGAGAGTATGATGGACATGGATGGAATGGATGTTCAGACTCAGATGCACGACAGGAATTGATGAATGGATGAAAAAATGTTGTTTTAGCATTCATTTCATGGCACATCGGGACATAATTCTGGACAATGTGCACCAAAAATGTATAAAAATGGCATGATAAATAGGCTAAGTTGTTTAAAATGGTGTGTGAAATTTATAGTAATTTAAAATTTGTAAAAAACACAGACAAACAAAAACGACAAGAAGAACCAAAAACGGCCATTTTGAAACATTTTGGTCATTTTTGCTATGCCAACAAAAACATACGATATTTTCGTTTAACAACGCCTCATGTCCTTCAAACTTTGTACGTGTGTTCGGTACATGTTTGGTAAACACGTAACAAAATTTATGTTTATTGATGTAAAATACTAGTAATATAAACTCGGAAAGTACTTACGACTTCGGCGTCCTCAAGTCGTTTTCACGTCCGAGATTGACAGCAGACGTGGAGAAACCCCACTAAAACTGATGACGTAATGCACAGAACGACGTCACCTCGTTCTCGTTCTCGGGTCAAATCTTAACCTCTCTATTGACCATCACGGCTCCTTGAGGAAAATTAGGTAAAGGTGATATATATATATATATATATAGTTCATACCATTATATCCCTGATGGCCACGGTTCCTTGAAGAACATAAGAAAAATGTGATATAGTTCATACCGTTATTTCACTGGACAGTCCGAAATCACTGTTGCGTAGACCAAATTAACCCGACCGAAGCATTGGTACAAAGGGGGTATACATCCCACAAATTGTCAAGGACTGCTGTGTAGTCGTTCGGGTAGGAAGTAAACCCTTGGTTCCTTGTATACATTAGCGTGCACGTAAAAAAAACCTTGACACTGACAGTTAGAATTCGATATATGAGTAGGCCGTAGCGCCGCTGTTCGAGCAAAGTTTCCCTAATTGCACACTGCATGGCGCATGCTAGTCTTCATTAGCCCAGTCAGAACAGAGCAGTGGGGCGTTAAAATGGCTAAGTCTCTTCAATCAATATCATCTAAAGTCTTCGACATTGAAAACACGAATTATCTGTCAATTTAAATCTACACTGCTGTTGTGATCTTACCGGGAAAGATGGGCTTCTGATATCCAATATTTAAGACAAAATAAACATTTTACCATTGCTACATGAATCGTGTACGATAATGCGTTTCAGCGCTATTTGTAACAAAGGAATCGAAGAACGAGGCTAGACATTTTCCACAAGTCATGTCAAATGGTGACACCATATTCTTATCTGGAAAGAATGCGCAATAAATACTATCTGTGTAGACTGGAATAACCAGACGTCAGAGATTGTCATTCGATTGAGACTTCTTGCGTAATTCGCCGAACATAAATGGTTAGAAATTACAGTAAAAACAGAAACCATTGAATGTAAGTCAGTTTATATACATTCATATTATTATATGCGTTGCGACACATTTATGTCAATTTCTAGGTCCCAAATATTAGCGATTTAGCTCCTTTAAACCAACCCTTTTCATTTCATTTCGCACAAACTGTAGATACCTCGCGTGTATCAAATACTTATGTATTAATCCCTCTTTTTAGCCGCTAACGTTCGGTGAATAGCCATCAATTACCATCTCGCACTGTAATGCCAGGAAATTGATCATAAAAGACACTACCTATGAATTTCAAATATCAGCCAGAAAACATTTCTTTTGACTACTTCTTTTATTTTCTATTAAGAAATTGATTTGCCGATTTACAGTAAATCAAACAGATCCGGTAGAAAAAAACACAATCCATATCAATTATTATTAAAGGACAATATTGGTGTCAGTCATTATCACATGTAATAGAACTGGTTAAACACGTTCCAAATATACTCTTCATAAAAAGTAGGGGATATTGAAATGCAAATACCTATGCAGGTTGTGATATAGGCATGGACACTTGACATGCCTGTAAAGTATGCTCACAGATGAAGAACCACGGAGGGATTCATTGTCAAATTTGACACTTCAAGGAAGGGTTGATGAAAACTGCCGCGTGGTGGTTTATCCTATCCACATGAACGTATACGTGCTATTGGCATGTTTCAGATGGGTTCTACAGAGCAAGCAGTAGCCAACGTGCTTAATGTGTTAGTCTGTGATAAGCAGACTATGGAACCGGTACCAACAAACACACAATGCTGATGATAGACCTCGTTCAGGTCGTCCTAGAGCCACTACACAAGCCCAGGGTCGATATATTCGTACACAGGTCCTGCGAAATCGATGACAAACGGCCAATCAGCTTTCTTTAAACTTGTACCAAGTTACAGAAATTCGAGTTACACCCCAAACGATTAGAAATCGGCTACATGCAGCCATGACTGGCAGCAGATAGGACTTGCATATTGTTCAAGGAAGGGTCACTGGTGTGTACTACCGTGACCACATCCTGGCACCGATAGTTCTGCCCGTTTCATCTCTCAAGATGATAATGCCCGTGCCCAGCGTCACCATATTGTCCATATGCCTTGGCCAGTCATGAGTCCTGATCTTTCCCCTACAGAGCATGTCTGGGACATGATCGGGAGGAGACGTGTTCGTCGACGTTAACGTCAACCGACAAACACTGCAAGAATTGGCCGTGGCACTGCAAGAGGAGTGGGCCAGATTATCCCAAATCGTGACGGTTGATTAGGAGCATGTCACAAAGAATTGCTGAATGTCTGAGGATTGGTAGAGCAATTACTCATTATTAAGACTCAAATCAAAAATGTCCATTTTCACTTTTGACAGTGTATCTCTTTGCGAGTGAAATGTTCATGTGTAGGCAATTGGCCTGTTATTAACATACACGGGTTACCTCTAATAAAAACAGCAGTGCATTTCCGCAGTTTTGTATTGTTTCTGAATATCCCCTACTTTTTTTGAAGAGTATGTAATTTTAACACAGGGATCATTGCTACTGTAGATGCGTAAAGAAGATTTGAAGTGACGAGTGATAACAGATACACGGGCGAATTTCTGCTCACTAATAATGCTGTTAACTGATCAATATCGGATTAGAGTAAGATCACGACTCAATTACCGGTATTTTAACCGTTTAGAGCGCCACCAGTTTTAAATCCTCGTTGAATAAATGCCAATGCTATACTGAGAAATACATACATGATATAAGAATATTAACTCTGTCAATGTATAACTTGAATTGTCTGATACATTGGCTACTGATCATTTCAGTAAATTGAGACAGATACGTAGACGGAACAAAATCGAAATATGCTATTAAATTTGGACATTTGGATTACATGCGCACTGCAAGTAGTTATAAAAACAGTATTACATTAAGCTTGGTCAATTATATTTCAGTGACATTTAGTAATTGGAACATACTGAACTAAAAGACTATTCATGGATGGATAACAATTACTACTGTTTATTCCACTGCGACGTTTCAACAAGATTTCACAAGCTGTTATCAAAAAAGATAACCATTGTTGATATGCTTGATAGCAACTTGTGAAATCCTGTTGAAACGTCGCAGTGTAATAAACTCTTAATGTTATCCATTAATAGTGTTTTATTTGACTGGGCCAGTTATAATGAAAGTACAAAAATATAGAGAATGGTGTAGAAAACAAATAACACAAATCATCATATAAAACAAGTATAGATAATAATATGTATATCTTCCATGGCATGGCCTTTTTTGTATTGATGAACATATTCACTAACGTAAAACTAAGAAAAACATTAAAATCAGTATATCATGATACAAGTTGTAGTTACCCATTGAGAAGTGGTGTGTAGTTTATTTTTAGTTCAAAAAAAATACGGGCGTTATGATTGGTGCGCCTTGGTAAGGGCCACGGGTAATCCAATTACTGCATTCATATTTCACCCGTGGTATGGGTACGTTGCTAGGTTTAAATAGAAAGCTAACAAAACAATGAGACATGCATCTTAACGCCGGGTAGTTTTCTATCGTTTGGAAGCACGATCGTGGGAAAGTTGTTTGAAATGAGGCCCGATTGTCATAAGGTCTGGCATTGTCGATATGTTTTTAAACTGGGATATTCTACGGGTAGATTGTTCCACAGACTCTGGCAATCTAAAGGTCTGGATGTTTAGAGATGTGCTTGTTTAAACTAGGAATCTAAAAAAACGTAGAATATCAACGCGCACTTAAAGGGTTAATTCTAAGTTGAAATACTAACTTCACATCACATGATCGCTAAGATTTGAAGGTTCGCACTTCAGTTGATATTCTCAACATGGAGTTGGGCTGTTTCCATTTATTGCCGATGTTACTCTTGTTGACAAGTGTAATTTGCAACTTGCACTCAAACTATTTATTGACACGGACTATCAATGAATTGAAGAAATGCAAATATGCAACAATACGACAACCAATTCTCGAGAAAACCACCGTTTCATTACTAGGATGTAGTAGATTATGTACATCAGTTGAAGAATGTAAACGGTTTATGTTCGATGAAAACAAGAAACTCTGTTCTTTGTTCCGACATGGTGAACATTGTTTTACATCCGATGATGTTCATAACAAAGTTTGTTACATACAGGTAAGCATTGTTTTAAAATTAAAATTCAATTATTTAAAATGTCTATAGACCTCTTAGGTTGGCTTAAAAAATAAAAAATTATCGATTTCATTGAATTTTAGCTGATGATTTGTTGTGTGGGATAAAAATATGACTGAAAATTGGTGAATTAAGCCTGGACAATTTGCGTTATAGGTTCCCCACATTGATCTGTGATCCAACCACGTGTATGCATATTTACTTTACACCTTAGAAACGTAATCCAAGATGAAATGCACGAGGCTGATTCAGAATAATAGATTGCTTGAAAGAGCCACGAGCTACACCTGACTTAAACCATCCGAGTATGGTATATGCCAAAGTGATTCATTATTCATAAATTATCAAACTTAAAGTGATTTATAAAATTCAGGACTTTTATCAAATTCGACTATATTTAGTTACATTTATTAGATCCACTGAACACTACACGTGTTTTGGAAACTATATTATACTGATGGTCTATACATATATTGATTGTGTCTGTTTTCCAACTTGATAACTGTCACATTTGATTGCCAATGTATATATTACCTGTGCGTTATATCATCAAATAAAGATAACATTAATGGCCTTAACACAACAGGTGCAGGTCAGAACATATTTGAGGATACCGTGCAAAGTTAATAACATTTATGTGCTTGATGAGCTTGATAATACCCATTTAAGAATAATTACTACAAGAACACAATTATTGTATCTTATTTCAGAAGTCCGTTTGTAATGACATCACATGTACAAGATGTCCGATAGGTTACTATGGAGATAAATGTCAGAAGGTAATACAAGGTCTGTATAGATTTCTCTTGAACACCATTGACATTTAAAACACACCCTAATATCAGAGTGGAAGTATTATGTCGTCGCACAGCCGTCCGTCCAGATTTGTTAAAATCTACAGGTCGCAATTTTTATGAAACTCAAAATATATTTTTATTCCAAAATTGTTGGAATTGTTCGATTTTGGCACATATCGGGCCGTTACTTCTTGGATTATTGCCCCTTGCTGTAAGAAAATAACCGGCACTTTTTTCGATTTGATGAAAGTTTGAATATATGTTTATAGCTGACGGGTGGGTTCGATTATTGTGAAAATCGGACGGTAACTTTGCGTTAAATTTGCCAGCCATTATGCAAAGAGTGGCAAAGCAATTATACCAAGGTTGTGGACCCTATCAAGGTCAAATATTTATTAGAGATAATCATTTAGGAACCATGAAAGCGGTGGGAATCCATAAGGGTGGGTAGTAATCTCGGACGAGTTCAATTTCGTGCGCAGCGGGCTGTAGCTTTCTGGGTTATACCCCTGCCATGTACGCAAAACGTGTAATGATGTTTGTGGGCTCCCTGGTGTGATCAAACAGGAACATGACAGCATGAGCCTATCGATAATCTACGTTCCTTGACCTTCCGTACCGGATCCGGGTCATGAGGGGACAAACCCCATCGATAATCAGCGTTCCACGACGACCTTCCGTTCTGTAGTTACCAACCCTTTGCCCGCTACAGTGTATAGCGGATTGTTTTAAAATTTGATATTCGAAGAATTTGGGGTTATGGGATGGCGAACCCTATCGCCTTTCAGCGACTCTTTCATTACAGAATTATACTTATTTAATTGAAAACCTTGTGAATGCTATAGCGGCTACTGCAATAAACAATTATTTTTAAAATTTAATGTGATGCATTGGGTAAGCTTCGTGCCCTTCTCGTCCAGGTTTCCCATTTTTTACTGAAAACTTAAACGCTATACACAGACTATAGTTTATAACAAATTTATTTCAAATTTGGTGTGAAGGCATTGGGGTCATGTGCAGACGAACACTATCGATATTCAGCCGTGTCGTCCTATATCCGCGAGATGTCGGATGAATTCGAAATGAAAAGATATTCGTCAAGTATGTCCTTTCGTCACTTAGACAGTCATTGACTTATGAAAAGCCTTCCGATGGAGCTATGCTCAGTAAGGTTTACATGGCCCAATCATATTTAATAATCTTTTCAGACTGCACAGATGGTGTAAATAAGTCAGTTGTTCCCGAAGGGCTCGGCTATGCCTTTATAAAACCTATAGGCAGCGGGCAAGTTGAAGAAGTAAGGTGTGACTTTCGGTATGACGGATGGACATACATTGAAACGAGAGAAGAGAATTGTCTAGAACTTGACTTTAATAGAACCTTTGAAGAATACTCTACAGGATTTGGAAATCGATATGGAAATTACTGGTTGGGTTTGGAAAATATTTACAACATTCTGCAAAACCATGGCCAGTTTCTTTTGGACTTTTACTTCACATTTAATAATTCAAATGTTGAACATTGTCGGTATTCCAAATTTGATATCGCAAACAGAGATAATTTATACAGAATTACGATTGGTGAGTTCCGTGGTTTAAAGGGACCGATGGTTGACCCACTAACAAATGGTACTTTCAACATTGATGGCAGACCCTTTTCAACGTTTGACCGAGACTTTAGTAATCATGACTGTCCAGGACGATTTATGGCCGGATGGTGGTATCTGGATGATGTAGTCTGTTCACAATCTAACGTCCATGGTAGAAGATCTGAAAATATTCCTGAAGCGAGATTGCACTGGTTGGATATTCTGGGGGAAGAGATATATATTAAAAACAGTCATATAAAAATCAAGAGAATTTAAATGGGGATTTCGATAAGTTTAAATGTAATCATTTGTATTTCTTGTCCCCCACCTTTCGGAGAAACCGGCGTACTATTAAAATGTGTTTGTCTGTCCGTCACACGTTTGGGACACAATAATTCTGCTTCTAAAGAAACTAGGATGTTCAAAACTTGGTGTAGGTGGGGTTTTTTTTTGGTAAATGCCCTGATTGAGTTCGATGGTGGGGCTACGTTAAGATAAGCAAATTGATCACTTTGGTCCTAATTGGGAGTGGAGATACTTGAATAATGGTTTCGTCACAACAAAAGAATAAATTGATAATATGATGTAAGCAATTCAATTGTGCGAGACTTTAGATCACGATGGCATTTCTTCAATTTGATTGATTGATAGTGGTGAACATTGGCGTATAGTTTCATTACATCAATGCCTTGACACAGTTCGATGATGGAGTGAAGACTTCAATTTGATTGGTTGGGTCGTCTGAGGTAGAATGCTCCAACTTGGCATTGGCTGAATTCGATTTTATTTTTCACTTGTCATAAACCGTTTCGTTCCGGCGTTTACTGTCTTCTGTACATATATATAAATATCTAATGATTCTTTTAATCTCTTTTCACTAATCACATTGTAAAATATTACACCATGTATACATAACATGTTATTGTCTGCAGGATCACCTCGGTGGAAGCGGGCGTAAAATACAACTAACTCACACACTGAATTCGATGATAAGCATCGTATCCACTTGAGTGAGAGTGGTCAGCGGTAAAACTTTGCGTATAGTTTCATTACAGCAATACCGTAAAATAGTTCGATGATCAGCATTTTCTACTTAGGCTAAGTTATAGCGATAAGCAATTTGATTGGTCAAGACTTTGGAATACCAGAACTCTGCTTTTGATCACGTGGCTAAGTGGGTAAGACACTGGCTCGCTAGCCTGGAGGTCGGGTGTTCGATCCCTGCATTGGCCGAGAAAGTTCATCCAGATTTTCCGGCGTGGTTCCCCCTGGTCAGCGATGCAGGACAGAGGGCCTGACAAGGACAGCTGTCTAGTCGTTCGGATGGGACGAAAAACCGAGGCACCGTGTACACATTGGCGTGCACGTAAAAGATCACTTGACAGTTGGAATTCGTTATAGGAGTAGGCCGTAGTGCCGCTGTCCGGGCAACATTTCCCTCATAGCACACTGTATGGCGTATGCCCCTCTTCATTAGCCCAGTTCGGGGCAGAACAGTAGGACGTTAAACCCCATTTCATTTTATTTCATTTAATTAAGATGTATTGTTCAAACTTGGTTTAAATAATCATTATGTGACTTTCTTGATGCGGTTTAATGCTTTGTGGCACGATCACTTTGAGGCTGATAGAGTGAGAGTGTTGAACTTGGTGTAAATTTTCACTACACCAAAACCTTGACTAAGTTTGGTTAGGAGCATTCCCTGCTTAGCCTGAAAAGAAACTACTTCGCCTGTATAGAAAAACTTTATTATTGATCGATGCTTACAAAATGATAAATGTGCAATTAATAAATACAGGTCATCTATTTATTTTGATGTTGAGGCGGGGGACATCAGCATCACTAGTGATTTGTGTTATGTTATACAATGATTCATTTTGTGTCGTGGGTAAAAAATGTGGGCGATAATAACATTTAAGTGTAAATATCAAAGAGAATGGCAAAATACCTTTTGGCTGTTAGTTTTAAATATCAAAAACAATTTTGTCCCATTCAGCTATCTGAGAATGTGACTATGTATGTGACTTTCTAATACGTCTTGTTTGACATTTATATTCTTGTAATTCACTATTTACGTATTTTTATAGAGGTAGTGTATGCTTACTCTTTTCTTATGACATCTTTCCTCGATTGTGTAACTAGTGAAAATGTGTGAGTATTGCGGCTGTTTGAGGGAATGAAGTGTCGTGGAATTTGATCCCACCTTTCTTTGGAAGTGTTTCTCGCCTTTCTATGTTATATCTACTGATATAGAATCAGTTAAAGACGAGTTATTTGCCTCTGGATTTGATAGTTTCGCTTACGATACGAACATGAATATAATACTTGGCCACAGTTTAATGTTGTATTTTAAAAGTGATTTTCCATGCTACAGTTTCACTGACGGTGCAATGATTGTTTGCCATTTTACCTAGAATGAAACGCACGTAGTCTTATTTGTTTCGATTATATATATTATTGATTACCTATTCAGATCTATAGTATTTTGTATCTGTATTTACCTTTTTGTGTTTAACTGTTATCGATTGTGATTGTTTAAATAGTTGTTGCGTATACATAATAAATGAAATGAAATGGAGTTTAACGTCCTACTTTTCTGCTCCTAACCTGGGCTAATGAAGACGGGCATACATAATAAAACAAGCATAGTGACATATATACGTATACATGTATATAAGCACCACCTACTAAAATTGGGCACACATAGCTGAATTGTATTGCGTTCACACGTAATTATTATCGAACTGTGGTACTGGGGTGACGACAATTTATTTTGGGCGTATAGAATGCCAAACACTAGAAATAGGAGTGGAGTGAGGTAATATAGGCCTAGGCTGTTTCTCAATCCTTTTCTGAGAATAAAATATTGTTTATAAAAAAAACAAACACGAAATCAAATAGGTCAATATATTAATTTAACAGAGTTAGAGTAATTCTCCGAACTGTTTCCTTACACATCAATTTTATTTCCTGGCCTGTAACTTCCCGTAGAGTTTATACTGTATGATGGCAAGAAGCAAACGAAATGGGGTTTAACGTCCTACCATCTGCTCCGCCTAGACCATACAGTGTTATGGGGAAAATTTTGCCGGGCCAGCGGCACTATGGCTTACTCTTATATCGTATTCCATATGCCAAGGGATCTGCCAGGCCCTCAGTCCTGCACCACTAACAAAGGGGTAATAGTTGGGTATGGGACCTAAAATCCGTGACCAATTTGCAGGGAAGTTGTTTTGAAGGTGGTTTATATATGATAAAAACCCGCTGAAACGGAATCCGCTAGAGGGCCAAATTCAAAATGGCTGCCAGATTTGGCGGAAAATATAGAATTATTTAATTGGGACTTCTGAGGTGTCTATTCGTATGTTTTGTCAACTATATCCAAGTTGTATGTTTTCGAGATCGAGGTAATCAATTTTGAGGAAGTTGTATCCATATAATAAGGCAACCAGCAATAAGAGTGGAAGAAATGAAGGTACTCACCGATATTTACCACCTGATATACTCTGTAGGTAATTGATTTTAATTTAATCAACGCTTGATAATGGATCCATGTAATATCTAATCATCATCAACTTTTCCACTTAAAGTGTTACTCATCAAAATCACAGTCACTCGATTCAAAAACTGGATCCAGTTCTGATTATTCAGATTCAGATTGTTCCTCCAAAGTTGAAGTTTCGTCGGAATCTTCATCATTTGCACTATCATTGCCATGAACAAGTAAGTCACTTATGAGCGACCTGGTAATGCTGGATTCTCATATCCAATTGACACTCACTGTCCAGATTGGAGCAGTTTCCAACCATTACCAAAGGGAGAGTGTTTGGCGGCCATCTTGAATTGTTCAGCCATATTGGCAAAGCTAGTGGCCGGATGGATTTTTGATTACGATATTTCGATTCAGAGACCCTTAAAACATATGAATAGACACCTCAGAAGTCCCAATTAAATAATTTTATATTTTCCCGCCAAATCCGGCAGCCATTTTGAATCGGACCTCGCCAGCATTTTAGAGAGAGGCACCCAAGCTTAATCGTTTCAGTGGGTTTTTATCATATAGAAACCACCTTCAAAACAACTTCCCCGCAAATTGGTCACGGATTTTAGGTCTCGTACCAAACTATAACCACGTCGGAAAAATCCCGATGAATTTTCTCTGCCAATGCAGGGATCGAACACGCGACCTTCAGTCAAGCGAGCCAATGTCTTAACCACTTAGTTACCGTGGGTCCCGGTGACAAGAAGCCCAATTATCAGATAAATTATTGAAGTTCTCACTATGCGAGGTGTAATGAAACTTAATTGAAAATAGGTAGGGAAATTCTCCCAATGGGTGTAGTTTTACCTAATGGTCCATCTCTGCGTCATTATCATTTATCAGAGCGTGACAGAAAATGAAAACATGTACCCTGTTCATCCAAATGGAAAAGCAAAGGGATTGTACATAATGGAATGAGTTAACGTTTCGCCAACACAGTCGTGGGCGTCACAGGTGGGGGGGGGTAATATCCTATACACAACAATTATTAGTATTAGTTAAGATTATACCTGTATAAAACCTGTACATATTCCAATATGGTTTATACTGCTAAAATAAAACACAGAGATAATCATCCTGGAAACATGTGTGAAGTGAAAAGTATCTGTGTTCCATAAAATTGTGTCTAGTTAGCCTGTCAGTAATATTTTGTTATTTTTTTTCTGCCACTTATCAGAGTGAATCGCATGTAGGTACCCAAAAACATAACCGCCTAAACCAAATATTTATCGCCCGCTCAGCCAGCAACGTAACCATAATGCTTTTGCACGCGGTGTCTTGGTAGACAGCATGGCCACATGGTGTTTGTTTATATTTTGTAGGGGTTTTAAAAAATGGGTTAGGGTTAGGGTTGCGGACCCTGCCCCCCCCCCTCCCCACCAATATATATTTCACCGCTACACCTCTGAACACAGTATCCCGTATACACATTGGCATGAACGTAAAAGAACATTTGGCAGTTGGAATTTCCCCCAATGTAATGAAATGGGGATAAACGTCCCACTGTTCTGCCCCGACTGGCGTCCATTAGCCCAGAGTGCGCAGAAAATTAGGACGTTGATCGCCATTCCACTTAATTCTATATTCGCACTTGCGCAGTATCCACTTGAAATGGTTAGTCACCAAACGACTTTGAGTTTTATAACATCTGGGCGTTGCTAGATTGATTTACAATTCCCGAACTTATAGCTACGATATCTCCATTTACTGCTTACGCTTAAATCAAATATAGCAGAGGGGTTGGATGGCTGAATGGCTGAATGGTTAGCGTGTGCACGCTGTATCATGAAGTCTGTCATTGAGTCAACTGGCGTGGTTTGGAATCCCCGGTTGTACGTGACAAGGAGTAGGGTCGCCTGTCCAACCTCGTGGGTTTTCTCCGGGTCCTCCGGTTTCCTCCCACTGCTAAAGACCCCTACGCGCAAGCGAATTATTGAAATAAAATTAAACCATATGTTAGTCCCGAAATGACCTAGTTTGTGTCGAGTGGACGTTAAACTCCATTTCTCTCTCCCAAATATAGCAACCTCCACGGATAACTTGACATTGAACGAACATTGAACTTTGCAACTCAATTATCACAGGTAGACATTTTAGCTGGAAAGCGCGAGACTTAGTATTCGCGATAATCGAGGAATCTTAAGGCTCTCATGCTGGGTGAATACCCAATCGAAATTAGTGCCGAAATATCTAGGGTGTTACGTGAAGGCCTTGATAAGATAGATATACGGAGTTAAAGCGAGATCAAGCCTTCTATTCAAGATGCACTATATGAGGATTTTGAGTTTACCGCAAACCCTTTTCAAACGCCCACACATAGTATGGGCGTATAATGCAGTTGCCCTGTCTGTCGGTCACACATGCTTTTCAGCTCTCTAAAGGTCACCAGTATTCAAATCTTAGGATAATGATTCTTATGGGTAGATGAAGATTGGGATTGAATTTTAGCGCAATCGCTATTTTGGTTAGGGAGTTATCGCCTTTTAATGAACGTAATTTTGCTTATGCACTTTGTGAATTCATTAGGATAATCGTTCTTACGAGCAGACGACGGATGGGGTGGAATTTGAGTGCAATCACTATTTTTGTTAGGGAGTTATCGCCCTTTTGCTTATGCATTTTGCCAAATCTTTAGGATAATCGTTCCTACTGGTAGACGACGGGTGGGTGGAATTTGAGCGTAATCGCTATTTTCGTTCCAGAGAGACGTCTACATTTTCGCCTTTGGAGTACCACACGCGTATTGCCCAATCTACACAATTTGAACAAATCTAAATAAGCACCATCCAAGCAAAATCAATTGTTAAATTCAATCTTATGAATTAATCAGAAGAGGATATCGACAATGTGTAGTAAGTCTAAGTTTGAACCTTCTACGATCGCTCCAGCAAACTTATTTGAGCAAAACTGAACGCACATGCCATTACCTCACTAATATACCTATATGTTGATGAGATAGAAAAACAACACCTTTAATTCAGTAAACAATGTTTATGTTAACAGGCTGTATATTGATGACTTTAAAACCAGGCTATATTTTAATGACTTTCATTATATAACTTTAGAGCCGTGTATTCACACTTGAGAATATTCGGAATTTAGCACTAATTGAAATAATATAAAACAAAAACATTTAATAGAGATAACTGGCATTCGATGCTCCAATATTTAAATAATCTTAGTGAAACTCATCTTAAAGTTCTAATTTGGATGAAAACCTTTTTAAAGTCCTTGCTGACAGTCGCATTTTATTTCTCTGGGGTTTAAACAAAGGTCCCCCTCGAATCAATTTTCTTGACAAACAGGACTGTCTCCCTCTATCAGCACGTTTAAATAATTTATGTGGTGACTGGGATAGATAAAGTGAACTCAGACTATATCCACGTTTGTGTAATGTTTTGGGATTCACGTTGATTTCTTCATAAACATTTTCGTCGCCATCATCAATAGATAGGAAGCCAATGTCATGAACATTCAGGACGTTATCGTTATAACTGTAGGCTTGGTAATCACTACTACTATCAGAGTCGCAACTAACACTTTCATAGAACCCACTGCTATAATCTCCGCTCATCGCATCTGGTTTTATCGTTGAGTGACCCGGAGGGTCTGGTAGTGGTCGGTTGACTCCGCAGGAATTATAAGAGAGTCTACGCTGTTTTTGGCAGTATGCCTTTGCCGGGAATCCGTAAATATTTGCTTGGTTATGTGATGTACACATGCCATGCGATGCTAAATCAATACAGGAGCAAAAATTATTTTTTTCAGTTTTACGTCTGCAAAGAGGACAAACGTCTTCTTTTAAAGAAAATTCATCTTCAATTCTTCTAGACACTCGACTTCTTCTATGGTAAAATAAACTGGACAATCGGATATTCTAGGTTTGACTTGTGTTATCTCCTCGTCATATATAATCGAGCTCCGTCTGACACCAGAAGTTCCTGATCTTCGTCTGCACCGTTTCTTAATCCAACTGAACATCCTGGAATTCATCTAAAAATACGAT